TATGAAATGGCCAATAAACAGGATATTCACCTTCACCACTCTTCAGGGAAATGAGAATCAAAGCTACATTGATAGTCTACCTAGCCTCAGTCAGAATGAGAACCACTGAGAGTAAAAACACATGCCAATGAGCATGAGGACAAAGGGGCCCCAGATACACCCTGGTGGAAATCTAAACTAGTTCAGCCTCCGTGAAATAAGTATGCTGGTTTTTAAGAGAACTGAAAACAGACCTGTCGTATGACCCAGCTGTACCAAAGAATTCCAAGTGGACATATCACACTTGAGCATCAAAGCTTTCTGCAACCCTATTTACAACAGCTAAGCTCATGAACCAACCCAGGCATCCAGTAACAGGGGAATGTGTCAAAAAAGATGTGTTTTATATGCAAACAGGATTCTCTTTTCAGTCATGAGGAGCAGACATTCTTTTATACGAGAAATGTTTTCTCTCATTTTGTTTTCTAGATTTTATACAAATGCATAAAACCATGGATGTCTATATGCCATGAAAGTGGAAACAAAGCTGTGTAGAGCCCATGGGGTACTTGGGAAAAGGAGGGGGCTTGTGAAAGGCATGTGTGGGTCTGCTCAAAAATACATGACCTTATTTAACCCATCATGAAGCACAATGGACATATACCAACAAGGAATTAGGAACACACTGTATGCCAACACAATGCTGGGTTCTAAACCCTTGTTCCTTAATTCCATATGGTCAAGGCCTTATCCAATGACATCATGAGGATGGCATGAAACTTCCCATCAGGCACTGCAGTGCCTGTTCTACACTGCACATTTTCATGATTACGACAATTCTATGAAACTATTGTTAAGAAGACTATGTCTTCTCTGAATTTGTACTTGGTGTCCACACTTGTCCTTGCACTTGGGCGCTAGAGTGCTGCCTCAGAGAGCTTGTTGGCATGTCTGCAGTATGAGGGACATTCACAGGTCTTGCTCATCTTGCAGTTGATGCAGGCAACACGCCGCTCTGTCTCCAGTGACAGATGGAAGGTGAGGTAAAGGTTTCTCACTTTGGTGCCCCATACCACAGGGCGGCAGCTGGTTGATATGAGGGCAATCATCTCTGTCTTATTGACTATCTATCAGTACATTGTTCTATGATTAAATGTCAACCTACAGAGCACAGCAATGGAATTGGAAGTTATTAACGTAAGGGAGAAACAATAGAGCAGCCATAAGCGTGGGATGTGGCAAAAGTCAGGGCATGTCGGGTCATTTAAACCCGCAGTGTTTTCCGATGGCATTGTCACACATCCCCCCAATAGAGAGCTGAGACGGGACAGACATGAGCAACAGTGATAAAAGCTGTGAGCCATTTCTCCATCTTAACGAGAGGGGTAATAACCACTTGGCAAGAAACTGAATCATCTGACCCCTGGTTGCAATGCTACCTATGTCTTCTGACTACACACTTGGCCATGAGCATTTTCGTGGTGTTGTGTTAATTTTATATTTTTCTTCTAGATTTTTATCAAAGCAAAGATAATGTGAACATGATGGATTTATGTCAAATTTATGAAGAAGAGCAATTGTTTGCTTTATGGGACAAAGATTGATGGGTGAAATGTTTTAACCTGACTCTTTCCATTGCTTTAACCTGACAAGTTTATTTTCCACCACTGCCTTGATTGCTATCTAATAGGCAATTTTTAGGTTTGGACTTTTATTAAAGGGATAGTTCAGAGTCAGTGGGGGCAAGAAGGAGTCCCTGACTTTTTGGCTACTGTAAGGCTACACTGGCATTGTGAAATAAAGAAATGTTCTCTGTTAAGAATAATTACATACCATGTAAGAACCTAGGGCAACGACTGTCATATTAAAAACCTGCCATTTGCCTGCAACTTCTGCTTTCGAAGAATTTTTGATTTATGTTTTCACAAGCTCCTATCCACATTACTTTTGTGAATGACTGTAAATGCACAATACAAAGAGTAAGCTTTTAAAATTTTTTACACAATCTAATTAACATTTAAAGCCATCAACAGGGCTATATCACTCTAGTCTTTTGGATTATCAAAATGAGTATTTGAAATGGGTCAGCAAAAAGGGGAATTATTCCTTCTTCAAAACTATCTTTCTGACTCAGTTATTACAATGGAACTGCATCTGTAGAGTCTTATTTTCATAGAATTTTGGGCTTTATATAACTCTTAGTTGATAAGCAGGTCAGTCCCTTTCCCTCTCCCTTCCTCCTCTCTCATCTCTTTTACAATCTCCATTTTTCTTCTCTAGGGTCCCTCTATCTCATGTTAATAGCAAAGTAATAAGACAAAGTAAACGCAATTAACACATGTATTCTTTTTAAAATGTGCCTTTAACAAGCTGACTGGCCAATAGCTGAGCATGATAAAGTTAGGAAGGAAAACCAAACTGAGAATGATGGGATGAGGAAGAGCAGAGGTAGAGGAGTCGCCAGCTGGATGGGCAATGAGTTGTACACACAAAATGCGATAGAGGTGAAAGCCATGAGCCCCAGGGCAGCACAGAAGAATAGAAATGGGTTACGTTGCATGAGCTAGTTAGTAACAAGCCTGAACTATTGGCCAAGCATTTGTAATTAATATTAAGCCTCTGAGTAAACTTTTGGGAGCAGCTGCAGGACAAGAAAACTCTGCCTATGGGCGTGTGTGTCTCTGTGTGAGCATGTTAACACATGTGTGGGGATCCACAGGCGACCAGAGATACTGGATCTCTCTGGATCTAGAATTACAGTTTCTGGGAACTGAACTGAGCTCATCTGCAAGAGCAGTGAATCCTCTCAACTGCCAATCTGTCTCTCTAGCCCTAGCATGTTCATTCCTATTTCCCCAGCACAGAAAGAGACATTTCTGTATTGTTCTTTTTAAAGAAAAGATAATATAATTGACTCTTCTAAAAGAGTATATTTAATTTACCTCAATCCCAGTTTGCTTACGGATTACACAAAAGTGTTCTTCACAAGAGACTCCTGACTCTACCTGTCAGGTTTCTACTCCATCTAAGCCTTTTTCTCTATAAACTGTGTTTCCATCTTTTCTCCTCTGAATAGTCAGAGAGGCTTCTTAGCTTGCCCTTTGGTTCTAATCTCTGTCCTTTGCAGTGTGTTCTCTGAACAACTACCAGAGAGCTGTTTAAATAAACATGGGGTCATGTTATTTCCCTTTGAAAATACTTCCATGTTCCCTTTTCCATATCCTACAAGACACAGCCCACATGATCTGACTTCTGCTTATTTCTTCAGCTTATTGGACACTATGGCCCTGTCCTCGGCTCCCTTTATTTTCCCCCAAATGATGTCCTTTCTAGGAATGGTCGCAGCCTGTAAACCTTCACAACATTGTGCAGCTCACATGCTGGGTGTCATCCAAGACATGGGTGATGTTTGGAGGTAAGAGCTCATCAGTTCCTTTGGAAAAAAATGTACATCTTTAAAACTCACCAGGGAGAGGAGTGGAAATCTCCTAGGTTACAATGTATGTAAATTATGAAGTGTAGTTACAATGCGATGTGACTGGAGCCTCAACAATGTAGCGAAAGCCACAGCTGGGTGGAAAGGTCTCCCCCATTGTTCTCCCTAGAAGGATGCATAATTCTAAATACAGTGTTTATCATGTCTTTGCGAAACAATTGTTTTTCTCATGAACAAATCTATTCCTGCTTGGAATTATTACCTGAAAACTTTTTTGGTATGTTTTTAGGGCTTATAGCCACTATCATAACCAAATTTACCCATTGTTTATTTGGTAAAATATTCTTTTATCCAAGCAGTAGAATTGATACTTTACTGCTGACAAACAATTGAATCTGTTCAGTTTTCTGGTAAATGTCACGTGACCTTGAACGGCACTAAAAGTTTGGTTTAATGATTTTAGAGACTTGCTTCAGAGTGTACTTGCTCAGCTGCACCGCGTGACTTGTTACCACAGTGGTTGTGCCCTGTGTTCCTACAGGCACAGAAAGAGTGTTGTGTGCGAAACAAGTAGCTCGTGTGTCCCAGAAATCTCTACTCAGCCTACAGATGAAAACTGGGATTGTGCCCATTTCCTTGATTGCTACAAAGGATGTCATGCTTATTTCCTGATTTACCCTCTCAATGCTGCTTGTGTTTTGCTAATTTAAAAATCAAACTATGTGCCTTTGTTACTGATTGGTGAGAGCCACAGAGTACAGCGAGGAGCACAGATCCCCGGTCCTCGTCCATTGCTCCACACACTGCAGCTTTCCTTTCACCGTGCTCGGTGACATATCGTAGTCTGACCCACTCACCACGCCCATGAGGTTAAAAGCTTCTTGAGGCCTGTATTCATCTTTGTTTCTCCAGCACCAAGCAAGTGCTTAGCATGTAGTGTGTGCACCATTGCTCAGTGAGTGCTTGTTGGACAAACTGACAACTTTAAACATTTTATTGTATTTATTGTACTTGTTTATCGATTTATATGTGTACATGTATGTACATCTGTGACCATATGTGTACCCTAAACCGTGAGTGGAGGTCAAAGGACAACTTATGGAAATTGGCTCTCTTTCTACTCTGTGGGTTCTGGGGATCAAAATCAGGTAGTCAGGCTTGAAGGCAAACACCTTTACATGTTGAGGCATCTCATTGACCCTGCTACGACTTTAAGATGTGGCAATTCGACCTTTTTATGATAAATATAATTTTATGGATGTTGGTTATATGTACTGCTGAAGCCAAGGCTAACTGAAGTGTATGCAACACATCTTTCTGTACTTGCATTTCAAAGTGTGTCCTAAGGTATTCTTAAAGACGGTGAATCTGTAGGCTATTTACACGCAGCCATTGCTAATTGAGCACACGCTATGCTTGCTTCCATTCTTTCCAATGCATTGACAGTTTACCAGAATCCCGAGTGGCAGAATATTTAGCTTGAATTTACCATGAAGTTAGAAATGATGTTAAGACACAAGATATGGACTACATATTATGATGAATGCGTGAGGTTCATGGTTTGTGTCAATTTGACATTGATTACCTTTTTAGCAATGGTGTCCGGAGGTACATCCCGCCTCCCAAGTGGGTAAGGATTCCACTGGCCACTAGGAGAGACATCTTCTTGTCCATTGTCTAAAATGTTGCTTTGCTGGGACGGGGTCTATTGCGAAAATGGTATGGCATTCTTTAGTGATGTTTACGATAGTTTTCTGAAAAGAGTCCCTAACAATTATGGTAAAATTAATTTTGTTTGATTATAGAAAACATATATCCTAACTGGAAACACGATTATATTCTATTTACCGAGTAAGAATTCTAAACTGACAGCTATTTTGGAAACAATGAGAAATACAATTAAAATAACCATTTCAGAGTTATTTACTGAATTTTAAAGTCTAGATTCTCTACAGTACCTGAATAGAGATAATCAGAATAAAATTAATCAATGGTTTAAAAATACCCACAACATTTTAAAGCTTGCTTAGCTTGTCTCTTTAGTATGTGCTTACCATTTAGACTATAAACTGAAACCGTGCAATCTGTAGATTGGAATGTGCAGTATTCCAAGCCAAAGCCTCACAAGAATTTTTGAGACTTTGATGTGAATTTTTTAAGGATGTATTTTCTACTAATCCTCTACAGAATATGCACTGGCAGATGAAGATGGTTGGCATTGTGCATTATCAACAGACAGCTGCTAGAGCCACAGTCAAGAAAGCCATGACTGCTTTGGTTACTAAATTCAGTTATTTATGTATCACTTATATATTAAATTTAAATCCTTCATAAGTTTAAGAATATTAAAAATATTCTTGCTTGTGTTTTTTTTTTAGCAAATAGGATATCCCATTTTTATTAATATTGATGTTAGATATTTTAAGATGACCCAGACTCTAGCTAGATTAACATTAAGCAGTCATATACATAGGAAAGGGAGAACCTGTACCTTCTACTGGAGAGGTAACTGGTGGTATAGACAGAGGGTGTGTGTGTACAAAGTCCTGTTCTCTTCTAACCTTCAGCATGCATGAGTTTTGTATGTTTTATTGGGAATCCCTGTGTGAGTCAGAAACTGCCCATGCCAGGCTTGTCCACATTCTGAAGAATCCCTGGTAGCAGAGCCTGGTTAGAGAGGCTGTGCTTGCTGGTACCCCGTGTGAGGTGAGTCCTGCAGCCTTTTCTTGATGAGCTGGGCAACTGTTTTCATATGTGTCATAGGCAGCTGCTTGCAAGGCCTCATCTGACTACACTGAGTAGTCCTACTATGGTCTTTTTAAAAAGCAACTCAGTACCACCTTATCTGTATTCTGACCACATGCACATTTTTAAAGAACTTCCAGGAAATATAATAAAATTGGGTTTAAGGTGAAACTATCTCTTAATGTGTGTAATAAGGTTAGTATCTCAATGTGTGTAATAGGGTTAGTATCTCAATGTGTGTAATAGTGTTAGTATCTCAATGTGTGTAATAGGGTTAGTATCTCAATGTGTCTAATTGGGTTAGTATCTCAATGTGTGTAATAGGGTTAGTATCTCAATGTGTGTAATAGGGTTAGTATCTCAATGTGTGCAATAGGGTTAGTACCTCAATGTGTGCAATAGGGTTAGTATCTCAATGTGTGTAATAGGGTTAGTATCTCAATGTGTGCAATAGGGTTAGTATCTCAGTGTGTGTAATAGAGTTAGTATCTCAATGTGTCTAACAGAGTTAGTATCTCAATGTGTGTAATAGGGTTAGTATCTCAATGTGTCTAAAATGGTTAGTATCTCAGTGTATCATCTAATAGGGTTAGTATCTCAATGTGTCTAATAGGGTTAGTATCTCAATGTGTCTAAAATGGTTAGTATCTCAGTGTACCATCTAATAGAGTTAGTATCTCAATGTGTCTAATAGAGTTAGTATCTCAATGTGTCTAATTGGGTTAGTATCTCAATGTGTGTAATAGGGTTAGTATCTCAATGTGTCTAAAATGGTTAGTATCTCAGTGTATCATCTAATAGGGTTAGTATCTCAATGTGTCTAAAATGGTTAGTATCTCAGTGTACCATCTAATAGAGTTAGTATCTCAATGTGTCTAATAGAGTTAGTATCTCAATGTGTGTAATAGGGTTAGTATCTCAATGTGTGTAATAGGGTTAGTATCTCAATGTGTCTAAAATGGTTAGTATCTCAGTGTATCATCTAATAGGGTTAGTATCTCAATGTGTCTAATAGAGTTAGTATCTCAATGTGTGTAATAGGGTTAGTATCTCAATGTGTGTAATAGGGTTAGTATCTCAATGTGTCTAATAGGGTTAGTATCTCAATGTGTCTAACAGGGTTAGTATCTTAATGTGTCTAATAGAGTTCACAGTGACACTGTCTTACAACCCCTCTAAGGGACACAATGAAAAAAAGTACACAGCTCAAATTTCACCTTTTGCTTTGACTGTGTAAATTCTGTTTCCACAAGCCCATCGGAAGTGAAAAAGAAGAAAAAAGGAGAGTTTTGAATTCAAACTCTCATACTGAGTGAATATGTATTTTAAAAAATCAAATGAAGAGTAACACACATGAAAACCATGTTGCTTGGAAGGAGTGAGATGTGTTTCGCCTGGATTTCTAGTCTTTACTATTTCTAGACTAGTATTTTTACATGTGTCCACACCCAACCTTTCTAGATATTAAAACATGGCAAACAAGAATATAAAGATTAAGTAGACAGAAGGAAATCATGCACTCAGGAACCACTGGGTAGTATTTTCTTCATGGATTTTCAGTATCCAGGTCTCTTTCACTTGGGTCCTCTGCCCTGAGGGCACAACACAACCTGCCATCTGGCTGTCTCTGTGCAAGACACATTCTTGTGAGGTGGACATAATTCAGCACAGGTTTTCTTTTTCTGTTCAGGTCACTCTCATCTTTATATAACTTTTCTCTTATGCATTTTCTTACCTGCCCAGAAATGAGTAGCCCTATTTTGAATAGTCACTGAGAGCTATTCCAAATGGCACAGCTCTTTATGGCCCACAACAAAGGTGTAGCCCCATTCTATCAAAACCCCAACATTGTGACCCTGGGTTCTTCACAAATGTATAACTAATTTGTCTCTTTTTAAAAATTAGAATTATCAACCACACTAATTCCTTCATATACAGAGGACAGAGAAGCAGAAACATGCAGGATCATTAAAGAGATTCTTTTTCACTGCATAGTAAAATTAATGTACTTCCTGAAAGTAATTTCCCTTCTTAATTTCAAGAATGAGCTATGATTTGATTTTCTTAGGTGAGGACTAGAGCCTGGAGAAATAGGGAAATCACGGAAACACTTATTGATGCTGGGTGGTGGTGGTGGGGCCTGAAAACTGAGAAATTTAGTGTGCTCACACTGTTTCTCAAAGTAGGATGTATGCTGAAAGTAAATTTGTCCTTGGGTTGTTAAAATTCTCCAGAAGATAAAAACGAACAACTGGAAAGCATGATATAAATGGAAGCCCTTGCTGCTACAATGTTTTATTTCTAAGAAAACAAGCTAAACTAGGTGCTCACATCAGTCAGTGCTCTAGAGGTTAGGATGGCTTCTGATGTTTCTCATCTCATATACCAGCCAAGGAAGCACACAGCACACAGGACGTTGGCTGCTGGGCTCTCAGGTTTTTATTATTAGAGCAGCAGAGGAAATGGCCAGTGTGAGTTAGCAGAAAAGCAAAGATTTCGATAAGGCCTATAGCTTAAGAAAACCTGGCTCCAAAATCTGCTGTGGTTATTGGTAAACTTAGTGTTGATGATTCTCAGAACTAGGAATGGTGATAAGTTTCAAGGGAAAGAAGTAATTTCTAATCTGGCTGGGACTTCACTATGCATCTCTGTCCATATATCTGAGTATATTTGCATGTATACTTATGTACATGAATGTGTCCACTTGGATGTATATTTGTCTAAGTCTATATATGAGTAGTATTAACATGAATAAATGGGTGTAGCTAAACCAGTGGCCGTGATCATCTGCTAGACGAAGGTGTACAGTATGCTTGTGAAATTATATGTAATGCCATCTTGCTGAAGAAAACATATGAGCGGTGTTGGAATTTGATATTTTGTCAAGTTCTTGTGGCATCTTTGATGAATGCAAGGATCTATTTTGTGAGGTAATTGGCACATGACTTGCAAAGGCAATTTTCATAGATTTAAGAAAATGTTAAAGATAATTTGTTCAAGCAGCATGGTGGCATATGTCTATAATTTCAGCAATGAGGAGGGAGGTTGAAGCTAGGGGTTCAAAAATTTGAGACCAGCATAGGCTACGTACTGAAACCTTGTACAGAACAAAACAAAACAAAGCGCCAGAACTGGAGCAAACATACAGGTCAGTAAATAAAAATCAACAACAAAACCAGGAAACGCTTGAAAAACAATCTGCCCAAAGTATTTTTTAGTGAAATTATTGGTGCACTAGTGTTTCAGAAAACCTTTTGAGAAGAGGTACCTATGACAGAGGCAAATACATGGTGTGAAAATGTTATGCCTACGATTTTTAAAGACTGTGTTAGCCATAACAGAGATGAGACATGATCCACGCTGATACGTTGTTTGCTCATTTTAGCCTCTGTCTGTGAGGATTGTGTGCATTGGCAGGCTGGTGGCTTTTTTCATAATTAGAATGGTGGTTAGCTCTTTCTGGAGGGCTAAAGAGTCAGTAATAAATATAGCAGAATCGATAGGAATTGCAGGCACAAGTTAGCCTGGGGTACAGTATAGATTTTGCTTTTATTTCAGCAGGAAAAACTAGCATTGAATAAGCGACACTTGACTTTAGGGTGAATAGGGGCACAGCAATGATGGTGCCATCTGATCTTGGTCATCTGCATAGGTCCAGTGGAAAAGGACACCTAGAAGTTCAAAAACAGTCAAGGCAAACATTGCCGTCTAAATTTCCCTAACCCAGGAGTTTCTTAGACATGAATCAACTGATTTAATAACTAATGAGACAGACAGTGAGGACAGTTTCTCCCAGGTAACTTTAAAGAAACAATTATTTTATATATGTCATATATATATATATATATATATATATATATATATATATATGACCTAGGGCTTCCATCTCTGGAATTATAATTTATATTACTGTCCAATTCTATAAACAACAAGCAAAAGATTCTATGGTATAAAATTATAGTAATAAACATTAAAAGAAGAGGCAGCCAATACCAATCTAGCTCTGTGGAACCTGCCGTACTTCTATTGGGAGCCATGACCTGGGCATGACTGAGTGGACAGGAAGGACAGGTGATCTAACAAGGCACAGAGCCATCACTGGCTTTCTCTTAGTCCCGATAACCTGAGTCATTTGTCTCTACATCATGACGTGGTCATGTGCTCTTGGGTCAGTGAAGATACACCATTTCTTTCTTTCTTAAAAATTTCCCACATCATCAAATATTAAGGTTATTTGGATAATAATGTGAACGAAAGAATTGTATCAACTACTGTGAGTCATGTGTGAAAATGTCAGATGTTACAAATGGTGAAAGGCTTCACCGAATGCAGAGAGGGCTTGCACCGGGTACCACGGTCATGGACAGTAAAGCCAAAGCTCACGATACATCAGTGTGGGATGTGAGCCTCAGACTCCTGTCTCTCTCATTCACCTTCTAAATATGTCCACTTAGGTTTGTGAGTTGCAAGAAAAACCATCCTTCAGGCACCTTGAGGTACTAGCCAGAGTGGGTTTTCAGTATTTCTCAATCTTTGTTTTCTCCCAATAGAAATATTTATCATTGTATCATTAATCTAGGTGATAAAAATAGCAGTTTGAACCGACATTCTCCTATAATGTTGACCTCTTCCCAGTAACATACCATCTCAAGACAATAGCTGAGCTCATTACAGTAGAACACATCCAGAAAAAGCACATAAACCATTAAAAACATCATAGAAAGTTGATTTGATTGCTTTTTGGAAAGGCAGCAAATAAATGATAAATTAATGAATGAGGAATGAGTGAATAAATGAATGAATGAATGAATAAATAAATAAATAGGAAATATTGGTATCCTATAATTTAAGCCTAACTTGTATATCCGGCATTCTAGTTCATAAATACTGTTAGATTTTCAAGTTTAACAAAAGGTCAAGACATTAATGAATAATCTTAAATTTTTATATTAATTTTGTTGTATTTGGTGGAATTTTAAAAGTATCTTAAAGACGTTCATGAAATTATCATATAAAATATCATTTCCCGTATATAGAAAAGAACGACTATAGTTATTTTTTAATCCATGAAAAATGTACGCTTGACCTGGCATGCAATAAACATGGGTGAGTTAAAAATACACATCAAGATCAGTATGCTCCCTCCCCCAGTGACCTTAACTACATACTGTGTGAGCACTTCCAGGTGCCAGGGCTCTTTATTGCAATCAGCTGTATGTAGTAATGGGGCGGCAGGGCTGCATTCCCAACACCCCGGCCGCCTGCTCGGCTAGCTTATGCTCCGAAATAACAACACACAAACTGTATTCATTTAATCACTGCTTGGCCCTTTAGCTCTAGCCCTTACAGGCTAATTCTCACATCCCGATCAACCCATCTCTAATAATCTGTGAGAACCGGTCTTACCGGGAAGATTCTAGACTAGTCCATCCTGGGTCGGAGCTTCATGCCGGGAGTGGGGCATGGCGTCTCTCTCAGGCGTCTGCTCCCGAGAGGAGAGCTGTGGAGTCTGAGCTCACTTCCTGTTCCTCCCAGCGTTCTGTTCTGTTTACTCCTCCCACCTATCTTCTAACCAATAAAATGGGCCAAGGCAGTTCCTTTATTAGCCAATGACCTTCCTCCATCAGCTGAATCCTTTAATTAGCTTATTATAAATTTGCTTAAGGACAATGTCAGTGCTCGGGAGGGAATAAGAGTGTTCCTTCTTCTTGGTGCTAGTGGCGTCTGAGAAGAAGGATGCAAGTTGTGATTCAGCCCAAGCGTTCCCTGGGAAGGGCAACATTCCCACAAATGTGTGCTGCACAGTTCTTTATATTCCCTAGGAAGCTTCATGCTCTCCATCTAGATGCCGGGGAGTTAATTTTGTGCATGTGTATGGAACCAAGAGGGCAGAGAAAACAGGAAGAGAGGATAATAGAATATCCGAGACGTGGAAGCAGAGGGGACTGTTCTGGGGAGAAGGAGGACAGTGGGGAAGGAAGTCTAGATGAAAGGGCCATAGCAGCAACCATTCCTTTGTATGCTAATCAAAAATATGCAAATAAAGGTTAGTTTTATAGTTTGACAGAAAGCCTCCCCCACGAGTTCTACAGAGAAGATGAATCTGGCAGAGGGCTTGAGAGCTCAGGGTGGAACCAATGGGGTGAAGCTCGGGCTGAACCGCCACGGCCACAGCTTTGGCTGTGCTTCGAATGCTTTTAAATTAATTAATTTTGAACTCATTACATACCAGGTAGAATAGTTTATGCTTTTCATAGACCTTAAGCTGCCAATCTTAGAAATGGTTTTTCATCCCCCTTTTCTTCCTCCTTTCCTCCTCTTTCTCCTTCTTCATGCAGGAGATAATATATTGGTAGTAATTGACTTTGAAGTCTTTCAGTGTCTAAATAGTTGGTTTTCAATTTATTGTGCTTCCAAGAGGGACTTTCCTTCCAAAGGGATTTCCTGGAAGTCCTGTGTTTGCCCAAGGAAGGATGGTCCTGAGGCCCTCGAATACAGCTCTGCATTATGGCTGTTATGTGGTATCGTGACTGTGAGAGGTAATTATTCTCTCAGGCCGCTGCACCACAAGATTAATACAACAGGGCAGCTGTCCCTAACTCATGTTAGGAGACACCAGAGGAGCTGAGACACCAGAAACACAGTCATAAGTGCACTGCTGTTGTTCAGTTACTGCAAGAATCTAGATCACTGTATAGAACAATCAGGCCCCAACTTAGTCAAAATAGGGTTGTTGTCATTAGATATTTTCAGAGGGTTCCAGAAATAGCTTTCTTCATACCAAAATTCATTTAATTAATTATTTTTTTTGTTTTTCTTTGTTTTCTGAGACAGGGTTTCCCTGTGAATCCCTGGTTGTCCTGGAACTCACTATGTAGTCCAGGCTGGCTTTGAACTCAGAGATTCATCTGCTTCTGAATCTTACGTGGTGTCATTAACAGTGTACATCACCACCCCCAGCAGGGTTCTTTAATCTGCTCATAATTTTTATTTTTGAAATCTTCTAATTTTAGTTTCAAAGTCTGGTTTGTATTACTTCCCAAGTTCTCTTGCAGAGGCTCATCCATCCTTGAGTGTGGATGGGATAAGAAAGTTCATTTGGGATGGAAGGAGGATGAGGGCTTTGGATTTCTAGTAGGACATGAAGAACAGGTTGTCTTGAAGAGGGTTTCAAGAAAATGGTTGTGCTTATGGCATGCCTAGGTCTAACTTGTGCTGACTTAAATAAATTAACTGCTCACAACCCTAATTCTAAGTTTAGAGACTGTGAGCTGGGCCATGAACATCGACACGATGAGAGTTATTGCTGACATCAGGAAATACTAGCAGAGAAAGTTATCACGCACCACTGGCCCCTGGGAGACTAAGAACAAATAAGATAATATTTAAATGTTCCCAATTTAGTTAGGCTTTGGTTGCTCCGTGTGTGTGTGTGTGTGTGTGTGTGGAGAGAGAGAGAGAGAGAGAGAGAGAGAGAGAGAGAGAGAGAGAGAGAGAGAGAGAATATCTGTGGACATAAAAATCTCTAGCTCTGTGTGCTACCCACAGCCTGAATTAAATTATATAGGGTCAGGTATAGAGTTAGGAAAGGCTACCAGACAGCCACTGTGAAGCATTATTGCATGGGAATTTGTCTTACATTTAATTTTCTTCAGAAACAAGAAATGTTGGGGGTTGCTGTCATTTTCTTTTCCTATTTTGTGCTTCTTTATCCATAAAACCTCATGAGGCTAATGACTACATTAACATAAGTCATAACGACATTGTATGAAGATGACTCATTAGTCTCAACTGAGATGTAACCAAGGAAAAGCATTAATCAGTTTAAGCAGGTAAAATGGGCATTCCCCATGTTGACTGAGCAAGACAAATGTTTCATTAACAGTGGGAACTCTTCTTCTCTTTATTCTACAGTATTAGTTCCTTGCTAATATGCCTACAATTTTGTTTAAAATATGTGAACTGGTGGCTTTTCTATAACCCAAGAAAAGCAAATTGTCAGATAAGATGCAAACTTACATCTCTCCCTGCTGTGTTCTGTTCCCACATGGAAAGTGGAACAAGAAAGCATTTACAGGGCTAAACACTTAACTTCCATGCTTACTCTGGATATTATGCCTTCTAAGGGACCCACCCAAATCTCAAAACAGTTTTCAGCATTGTTCTCAGAATGTTTTACCAAGGGAGGGGAGGGGTGGTGTCCAAAAGAAGGAAATAACAAATGTGTAAACACAACAGAAAGAAAAACATGGAAGAATAGAAAAAATAAGTAGAAAGATGATCCTTAAATCCACCTCAAAAGTCATGTACCTGCTCAGTCCAAAAAGCAAGAGTCTGGTCATCCGTCTAGCTCCAATAAACACTGAGCAGCTACAGATTCAGGCTCTACATCATCTTCCCTGGTGCGTTCGGACTACGGGGAGTCCGTCACAAGCAGGGCTAGATGCACAGTCTAAATACACCAAGTGAACAGACAGCAAGTGACTTTGGGATGCTGGCACATGTAGGGCGGTCCATACTTACTTTCTGAAGAGGTGGGTCTTGAAGGTCAAATTTAGACTTAGTCTGCAAGTTTAAAGTCATGCTTCTGCCTGCATGCATTGCTGAAATACCTCCATAGGGCAGCATGCCAAGGTTAACTGTGTTGTGTTTGTAAGCAGCGCTCTGAGTAGAGGAGATAACCATGTGACAGGATGTAAACACGGGCTCCACAAACAGATCATTACATGAACACGTCTAAATTCATCACATTGAACTGTAAGCGGGCAAACAGTAACTTTTTTTATAAACATGCGCTCTGTCAGACAAAAGCATACAGTAACAGTGTTAGTTGTGCACATAAATGAGTACCCTCCAGAGCTACAGAAAGGACAAGAGCAGAGATACATTGTCTATGCTTGCTCTCATGAAAACGCTAAATCTCTGTATCTGTCTCTTAGACGGCCTGGTGATCCTGGCTTGAGATGAGCATTGATCAGTTTGTTAGTTTTGCAAATTGAAACAGTGAGATTTTAATCAGATTCTATAAGCTATAAATCTCATTGTCTCACATTATGAGATCTGCACATATGAAGGACAGATGTTAACTTCTAACTCTGCCTGAGCTAATGTGTGGTAACCTTAAGGACAGTTATACTCTGAAGATGGTTAATGCTATTATTTTTAGTATGCATCAGATATCTGACAACACTCTAGTGATATTTATATTGTGAATATCTTTTGCCAAGAACTAGTAATTCTTCTCTATAGAGCTTCATTAAAATATTAATTTTTTTTTTTTTATTTTTCGAGACAGGGTTTCTCCGTAGCTTTTGGTTCCTGTCCTGGAACTAGCTCTTCTAGACCAGGCTGGCCTCGAACTCACAGAGATCCGCCTGCCTCTGCCTCCCGAGTGCTGGGATTAAAGGCGTGCGCCACCACCGCCCGGCAATATTAAATATTTTAAAATGACCCAACATCAAATTTTCAATCTGCAGTGGAAACACAATCATTGGCAGTGCTTGCTTCTGTAAGTAATTCTCTTATTTAATGCAGGAGACTTCGAAGAACAAATGGCTGGATATCATTTTTTGCTCTGAAAGCACTATTTACAAAGTAATGATTTTTATCACTAGCATTTTGTGAGCTATGGAGAGAGATCACTGGTGATACACTTGTTTGCCAATTCTATTTGTTAAGAGCTAGGGACTAGTTCATTGCCATCATGTCAAAAGTGGAAAAGACTCAACCTTTCCTTCTGGATTAGAGGTAATTCCTTGATACCCCATAGAGGATCAGTCATCTCAGACACGTGGGCTCGTGTTTTAAATTCTTGGGCACAGTGGGGCCCTATCATAGTAACATTTGTGATTAAAATAAGGGAGAAAACATATCCGTTTTTCTAGTGTAGTACTTGGAGCTGTCTCTACAAGGCCAGCACTGAGATCATTTGCCAGCTCCACATTGGACTGTTAAACCTATAATGTGAACAGAACTGTAGGTACTTGACTTTTATGTGAAATCGCAAATATCTTGTAGCTGCTGGTAACACTGTTTGCTCAGAGTTGAACAGCTTAACTGAATTTTGGAGGAAAGCACCCCAATCTCTGGTGCCATCTGATGATGGGCAGAGTGTTAATAGAACAGCTCTGTCAAAGCTATCTGACATTGTAATATGTGGTCTGGAAGCATGAATTCATCTGGAAGGATGGCTGGAAGATTTCACAGAACATGCATCTTGAGTGATCGCTGAGAAACTCAGCTAAGTGGGGAAGAAAACATCACTTGGAGTAAACTAGAAGAAAGCTCCTAGGAAACCGTGGCTTGGGGCAGTAGTCTAAAGTAACTCAACTGAGAAACTATCCAATATGCATTAAAATTGCTCTGAAAAGTTAATGTTAGAACCGGGGAATTACAAACGAACAGAGCTCAGTGGAAAAGGGAAGTGTCATCACAACAATTAAAAAATACAGTGAAATTCACCTTAGCCATCTGGGTTAGGCAGGGCCTTCAGACTTATTCATCCGAACCCTTCCCCAGTCCTGTACGCTCTGTGGCTATTGGAGTCACCTACTTCTTGTCTTGTTCAAAGCCGGTGGAGCACATCTCCACCTTGTCTTTCTGTTCCATGTTTTGTTTCTATCCATCATTCCGTCTCAAATCACTATCATTGCAATACATTCCCTACACCTGTTTGGAACCTTCCTTAGCTAGTTCACATTGCCTTGTTAGATACAGTTGTTGTCAGCATGCAATGAGAGTTCCCAACTGTTTTGTATTATTTAACTTTAAGTATTTTCACCCTTCAAAGCTACCTGTCTACATATAGGATATAACTCAAGGTGAGGCACGTGCCACTTGATCAGATGTCTCCTGCTGATGCCAGCCACGACACTTTGATAAAGTTTCCTTCAATGGGATGGGTTGCACCAATTTGAAACATTCTGATTTGCAAGACAGAGACAATTTTCATGCTGAGAAATTAACGCCCACAGCCACATTTGTTAATTCATTCTCTCCCTAGGAAAACTGTTTCCTTGTCACGTAGATACAACCTACAAATTGTTATTTTTAAAAGAATAAACCTGAACACTCAAATTTAATGTTGAAGAAATACATAATATAGTGACCTTGCTTTTATAAAAGCAGAGTCCCAAATAACACTGAATTCATCGAACAAAACATCCTGACGGCATAATGTCACTCAGAACATCTAACTTGAAGATACGAGACGGAAAGGCCCCATGTTTGCGAGGCAATCTTTAATTCTGAGGTAAGTCTGGGGCACACACAGTCTTTTTAACTAAAGCCACAGGGTCCAGCAAATGATGATGCCTCTGGGCAAAGGCTCTAGAAAATGAAATATTTGGTTTCTCTTAGAGAGATTCAAACAGACAACGGGAACTGATTCTATGCTTTGAACTGTTTTTTTTTTTTTTGGTTTTTTTTTTTTTTTTTGATTTTAACTCTCCAATGGTTGCTAACTCCACACAGTATTATGACTCAATTTTTACCTGATTCAGGATTAATTTGGGATTTATTTCCTTGTTTTGCTACATTGTACACACTAATTTGTTACATTTGTAGTCTTCCTTGAGACACCATCTGCATTTGCTGTTTATAGCTTGACTTGAATTGTAGAATTTCTTTCTACATAAAAGCCAATATTCTAAATGTCAAGATTTTTTAATCAATTAAAGTAGTGTGTAGGAGGGCATTTAATCTCTGCTTATTTTATTTTTCTGTTCCTTGCTGGGAAGATTATTGCTCATTAGAGGTAATAACTTCAGTTGTTCCTTAGCTGTGCACAAATTTTATAAACAAATTAAGCCCGAGTTTAATATAAGTGAGTCCATGTGGAAAGGGTGAAATACTCACTTTTTATAGACTCAATAAAAATAACACTCTCTAGGTCACCAGGGAACAGTTTTGTGTCCTGGGAGAGGCGGCCTTGCTTTCACGGCTAGAAAGACACTGGAGCACCATCCCAGATAATCGAGTCAAATTCTTCCTTACCATATTTAGGCTAGCTTTGAGAGGTAATTCACCTGCTGGTTATGACTTCTCAGAATATAAGCATTAAGCAATACCTAAATAAACTATTGCAATCCATCTCCCCCGCTAAATATAAATAAAATCCTGGGAGAATCATTCCTGTAACTCATGCACCACCACATGTGCTTAGAGACGCCAGGAAAGGAAAACCCAAGGCAGAAGGGATTCTTACAGAGAAAGGCCAGACATACCCTGTCTAACCTTCTAGCTTCTATATGTCTAAGCAGCTGCTGTCTCCAGTCTGCCGGCATTTTGCCACAGCTCTCCTCTCCCTTCACAGGGGTGGGCCTTGTCTTTATATCACTGTTATCTGACGGCTTGTCACCATAGTTACCCAGGTTATAGTCAGATGGTATTTTTTCCAGGAGGGCTGCCATGGTAGGCCTAGCTGAAACTGGCCTGGTTTGGGAGGCTCCGTAACTCTCTGTGCTGTAGCTCCTGGCGGACAGCGGCCTCCTCTGGGTAAGGTTTTTAGCGGGGAAGCTTCCCGCCTGCGCTTTTACTTCTTGATACGAAGGGTGTTCATCTTCGTACCTGCCATTTCTCTTGAGGAATTGGGGATCAGTCATTGAAACACTGCTCTGGCCTTCCAGCCCTCCCCTATAGGCTGCTCGGCCATACCTGTCACCAGGGGGCAGCTCATGGGGCTCGCTGACTCTTCTGAACATGGCCATTTCAGTGGAGCTGGCCAGGGAGTCAGCCCTCCTTAGGAAGCCTGCCCTGGGCCCCTGGCTGGCAAACTGAGCGTTCACTATGGCATCCTCATTCACAGATGGCTGGGAAAAGGAGAACATCTGTTCCATGGGTGGGTACCCTCTATAGGCTCTGGGACTGACCAGATCCTTGGCGATGTTTTTGCTGGGCTGCTGCACATACTCAGAATTGTGTGCGAAAGGGGGCGGGATCCTCTTTTCTGCTTTTACTTCCACCGCTCCTTGTGGATTGAAGCTTTGGTCAAACTGATAGACCTTCTTTGTCATAGATGCTTTTTGTTGGGGTGGCCCTTTACTACTTCCATACATGAGCATCTCGTCGTCCAGCATGGGTACCGACTGGCTCCTGGACATACTGGACATGCCGTGCTCCGGTCCCAACAACTTGTCTGGCCGCTCGTGGCTTCCTAAGTGATCACTCCCAGAGGCATAGTTTTCTAGCGGAATGTTATAAACCTTGTAGGTTCCAATGTCAATCTCATCAATACTCTGAGACTTTTTGAATTTGTTGGACTTTATATCTTTCATGAGTGGGGAGAGCCTCTCCGTGCTTTTGCTCATCGCAATAACACCTTTCGATGAATCTGGGCGGCAGTGGATTTGAGAAAAGACATTACCGAGACTCCTGTTGGGTGTGGGGTCATGGTACTCCCATGGCACTCCTGGAGAAAAGGGACTTGGTGTCTCTGCAGGCTCCTTCATGTGATCTTTTCTTTCAGGTAAGGGGCTGGTAGTAGGGGTTGTTTCTAATTTGGAAGGAAAAGCAGTCCTGTCTTCAAATGGACTGGGAGTTCTGGTCCAGTTCTGCCAGGGGTTGGAAGGAGGCACTTCTGTTTCTGGCGTGTGTCGGTGTATGGACTGTTCCAGTTCCAGGGGAACGCCGACAATCCTTTCCTGCCTGATTAAAGGCCTGCGCCCGTGAGCAGGCATGCTTCTAGCCTTGGCGCTTAAGAGAGGGTTATTGTTGGCGTTCTCAGCGGCAGCTTCCTCTGAGACAAAACCTGTGTTGTCGTAATGGGAGCCATCCGTCCAGTTGTCAGGGAAGGCATCACTCATTGGCAGCCGGTCAGGACGCTGGGGGAGATTCCCTGGAGGAACAGCCTCTCGTTGGCTGAGTAATGGCTTTGCATCCAGAGGCTGTGGGAAAGGTGGTGCAATCCTGTGAACACAAACAGAAGGAGAAAAATGACTGAGAGGAAGAGGTGACCTTCCTGGAGGAAGAATGCCACCAGCCTTTGTGTAGCTCATTTATTCCCACCTGGTTTACGGGTAAAGCACTATTCCAAAAACCCACTTTAACTTGCTCTGACTTTCACGTCTTCTGAGTAACCATGGCTTTCTAGCACCCTAGGGAACTGACTGCCTAACGTATTCATTGTTTACCACCTTAGGTCCTTCCATAGAATGCAAGCATGGAGAGAGACCAGCATACTTATTGACTAAATGGGTGAATGAATGAAGTAAGTGCACTTGCAGGCATGGTCCTGAAGATGGGCTGGCAAAAGGATTTCCACTATTCATCCCTGGGATTCTGACTCAGAGCACTTCCAAGTTTCCAGTTGAGAGAACTTAACACATCCCAAAGAGGAGGGGCAGGGACCTCAGACACGGCAGACATGCTGCTGCCTACTGAATGAATGGATGGTGCTCTGGACATCCCCAGCTTTCCCTATCTCTTTCTGACTCTCTCTGGCATTCTCTCTGACCCTCTCTAGATATCTTTGGCTCTCTCTGATCTTCTGTGACCTTCTCTGACCCTCTCTGATCCTCTCTGACCCTCTCTGGCCCTTTTGGATTCTCTCTGGATCTCTCTGACTTTCTCTAACCCTCTCTGACCCTCCCTGGCTCTCTCTGATCCTCTGTGACGTTCTCTAACCCTCCCCGACTCTTTCTCATTCTCTCTGGCATTCTCTGACCCTTTCTCACCTTCTCTTACTCTCCCTTGCTTTCTTTGGAGTTCTATTTTTATTTTATGTGTAAAACATGTATATATATATATATATATATAATATGTTTTGCTTGCACATATGTTTGTGTACCATGTGAGTGTCTGGTACCTACAGAAGCCAAAAGAAGACATCAGATCTCCTAAAACTGGAGTTACAGATAGTTGTGAACCATCATGTTAATGGGAGCTGGGCATAGAACCCAGGTCTTCTGGCAAGGTAGCCAGTGTTCTTAATTTCTGAGCTGTCTCTCCAGTACAGGCATTTCAATCTATCACACCAATTTTGCTTTTTGTGTTAGGGGGGATCAAATCCAGGGCCTCGAGCACTTAGCTCCACCACTGATCTACTTCCACCCAGCCTTTTTTATACCATTTTGGATGTGACATGTCCACGTGTTTTATAAACTTGAGATTGCCTCAAAATTACACTTTCAAGCTTTTGGTTCCTACTATCACTCCCATAATCTCCTCTGAGTTGGGCCTGCATGGATGGCAGGCCCTTGAGGGTGGCTCTGATGCCCTTCAAAATCCCAGGTGAGCCCACATGCTTACCTGCATCTTTTGTCTTCTGTGCCACTCACGTGCCAAACACAATTCCAACATTAAGCAGATTCCACTTTGTCAAAGTTGATGAAAATGAGCATTTGGGAACATAGAAGGGGGAATTCTCAACACACCTGTTACCCCACAAAGAGTTATGGACGGCATCTTTAGCGGTTGTCTGCAAGGACCCCACTTTCACGCGGGTGTTTGAGGACCCCGAGGAAGCCTGGGAGGGCGAGTAGTCTGAGTAGGTGCCTGAGGAGACACTGTTATTCAGACAGTGAGTTTTGTCAACTTCAGACTCATCAGTTGATTCTGAAATTCAAAGGGGAAACATATTACAACGCTACGAACACGGATGGATACAAAAGAAGCATGAAAAGCAGATTCCACATGGATTAATGTCAGAAGCACACATCTGCGGGTACTTATAGACTACGGCATGTCATAATGTATAAGTGGTGATTGATCATGCACATGCATCGGTCACAGTTCCACATCGGCTTCACGATGTTACCTTTTTTGTCCTTCCCTAGCAGAACAAGTTTGGGTGGGTACAGAGGGGTCTCAGCTAATGAAGGGTGAAGTTCCCCAATCCTCATTTCATTAGCTGGATGAACAAAAGAATCCTGAGAGATATAATAATACAGGACAAGGAAAGTAAACATTTAAAGAACGGTTAACCAAGATGGCAATATCTTATTTGGCTCAGACTCAAAGATGCAGCCCTCGAGTTTGATTCACCATAGGGCATTGTGAAAGGAACCCTGCACATCTCTAATTGAGCGCTAATTATTTTTCTAATTTATGTGAACTCATTTATTCATTGAATATATTTTTGGATGCTATTTGTATGCCTGGCACTGTGCAAAGAACTGTGGAGGTTCCCCCAGAAAGACACAACATGGTCTTCTGGGAATTCCCAATTTAATTGAGATGAAACAGTGCTCACTTCAGCACAACACTGAATTATGCTACACCCTCCACAGGCAGTGTGGCTCACAGTCAGATACGCTTGGATAGGTATTCTAGAGGCCAAACTCTTGAGAGTTCCAAGTGCGAAGGCCATTGCAAGCCAGTGGGATTTTGGTCCCACCCCTACACATATTATCTAACTGGTGGCCCAGGAATCCTGCATCCCGCCCCTGCTCTCCAGTCCTGCTGCATCCCAGGTGGCTGTGTTTTCAGCCACTGGGGGTCTGCTGTGCTTCCTTCCTGAGGTTGTTACTGTTCTCCTGCCCATTCCAACCTACTTAATCTACCGTATGTCAAATGCTGAGTGAATTATCATCAGCGGTATAAGAATACAACTCCATGAAGAATAAAAAATACAAAAGCCCTATAAGTTTTAAAATTTATTTCCCCCCTCTCTCTTAGAATTGTTTAATTTTATGTGTTAGTGTGTTGCCTGCATGCATGGAAATGCATGACTTGCGTGCAGTACCGGTGGGTACCAGAAGAGAGCATTGGATTTCCTAGAGCTGGAGTTAACATTATGTGTGTGTTAGGAAATGAACCCGGGTCCTCTGCAGAAGCAACCAGAGTTTTCAACCACTGAGCCATCTCACCAGTGTAAAAATTCCACGAATGTTAATTTCCAGAATTCAGATAATTCCCAACTAAGCAGATATCAGGAGAATATTAAGAAGAGCAAGACCTAAGTTCCCATTTTCTATACATAACAGCTGTGTTTTTAACCTGTTTATGATAATTTGAATTAAAAGAAGAACATTCAGGGGCTTTTGTTTGTTTGTTAGTATCTTGTTAAGTTGTAGCATTGGACTAACACAAGTAGAAATGTGTTGTTGAATCAGAGAAGGTTATACTTGGAAAAATACCAGGAATTTGGAAAACTTGTCTAGTGTTTGGTTGGAGAAATGAACAGACAGAAACACTCAAAGAGACAGACTTAAGGATTTTGGTATTGCAGAGAAGCATTAGTTTCTTTAATACTTGACTGAAATTTTATCTTTTGAACTTATTTTGGGGTGTATGAGACTATTTGTTTCTCGATGACTTTTTGTTTCAGTTGATGAAGACTGAATGACCATTGAGTTAAACACTTTCACTGACCTGGAGCTCACAAAATCACTTAATAAAGACCCAGCATTGGAGTATGGTTCTCTTGAGTTCCCACTGAGCTAGTCCTTCCTCCAGTGTGAGGCTCCCAGTGAGAGTATCAGGGACCTGAAATGAAGGATCCGGTTTGAAGAGGGATCCCAAAGACAAAGAGGTGATGAAGTGCCTGGGTGTGAAGAAAGAAATCTGCATTTGGAATTTTAAAGTTCAGCACAAGAAATGTTCAGTAAAATTTTGAAGTGGCATAATAAAGAATAAATGCATATATTTATAAGAAGATGCAAGCTGGAGAAAGAATAAGAGATGCCAACTTGTCAGTCACATGATGCTATCTCTCCATCCTGTTTCTGCCTCAACACTTACTAATCAGGGCAAGGGGAAATAATTCCCAGACCTGTGTCTGACATATCTGTCAAATGAAGGTGGTTGGTAAAAGAATTAGTGCTGATTTATGCCCAGCATATGAACATAAAGGTAACTTCCTTGTTTGAAACAAGTGAGAAAGGAGAAATTTTAAATAATACTTAGTACACGTAGAATTATTTTTTTTAAGGAATAGCAAAATAAAAAAAAATAAAAGGAGACACAAGAACCAAATCAGGCAGCTGGATCTGCCCAGAATATTAATATTACTTCTTTTACCTCATGTTCTGCACATCCAGTACTTAGGATATCTTGCTTATGTGTATCAGCTTTTCAAAACCGTGACCAGGGCTCTTCATGATCCAGCTAAGGTATAAGTCTCTGACTTTGCTCAGAAATCGAGGAAAGAAAAGTCATTGAGCCTACTTTCATGGCGGTAAACAGAGGAAGCTGTTAGCAAGCAATCAGTTTTGGTAAGTGGTTCACCAGAAATTCATCTAAATGTGTCTCCTGCTGAGGAGACAGAAGTAGAGTTGGTGGTGGTGGATAAAATGTCCTTTGTTTTTTTTTAAAAATCCTATCATCTTTCCTTGATTTAAACAAAATCTTGGCTCTTCATAACATGGAGAAAGACAATCCTAAGGTAAAAGTCAAGAAGAATAAAAGCTCATTTTCAAGCCTTTGAGAGTCTAGGAGGAGAGTTAAAAAGGGAGGCAAAGGAGAATTTCAGGGATAGCTGACTGTTTTCCATTATTTGGCAGAAGGTATGACTTCTCTATAGAGGGAAAACAGGCTGTCTCCTCACGATGAGAAGGATTTGTATCATTTTGACTATAGCAGACACAGTGAACAGGCGTCCAGTTAGAAATACACAGAACACTGAAGAGAATGAGGGAGGAATTGGTGCTTTATTCTCTTGAGGAGGGGTCTGAAATTATCATTTACTCTTGGCTTTTCCTGTACCAAGTGCTAGGCCTAGTGTTACCTGTTGTTACCCTAGTCCATCTCCATAGAGTCTCTTAGCACTTAGATTTTTAGAGGCAAAATTTGTGGCCTGGAACAGCACCCTTGCTTAGGTCAGCAACAAGGAAGGTCTAAGAGAACAGTTCTTGCCTCCTAGACCAACCCCACCCCCTCCATGGTTCCCAGACTATGTTCTGAGGCATCCTCAGAGGTCATGCTAATTCACAGGGGTATGATGTGTTGTAGAGAGTGTTTCAGGAAGGCAATGCTTGAGATCAACCAGACAGCTGTGAACTGCTGGGTCACTGTTGCACACGGTTTCAACATGTGGTTGCACGTTCTTGGTGTCATTTCTCATGAAGCTGGATTTTGGTAATTGCTATAACCAAAGAGTAAAACTTGAATGCTAGTGTATGGCATCTGAGAGCTGTCGTGTTTACTGTGACTTCCAGTTTTAAGAAAAAGTTGTCAGTGTCTGATGATATCTTGGGTTTGATTATTTAAAAATAAGATAAAATATTTTCTTTTCCAGTCTATGCATTTTATTTTTTCCAATGACCTCAAAGGAGGATAAATATATTTACTAATATATCTACTTCTACTACTTCTGTGGGGATATTGAATGTTAAGAATTATTTCAGTCTAGGGACATTATAACAAAAATTGTTGAGATACAGAGGGTATAAATATGCTAGGAATTTCCTCAATGCACAGGTGAAGACTGACTAGACAAGGCAGCCAACAAAGATAAATCAATTCAACAAATCTCAGAAATTCTCCTGGACACCCATGAACTTCTAATTGGATAGAGGGACAGACTATAACATTAGATTTAACTATTTATGTGTCTTCTCTGTGGTGGACTCTGGGAATATAGCTCCTCCCGGCTTATGATGTAGTTACATCATAAACACGGCATAAGTTGAAAATATCATTAAGTAAAAATGTTTTTGATATTCCGAACACTCTGAGTTTTACAGCCCAGCAGCCCAATACTCTGCAGTAGATGTGGTATGTATTTGGGATTCTGCAGCTGCTGAAGGGCATGCTATTTGTTGCTGAGTATCTGAGTGTATTGTTAGGCCAGTAAAAGGTCACAATTCAAAACCAGAGTATGGTTTTTGCTAAGGGTTGAAAGCTTTGACAGCAGAGCAGAGCTGAAAAATCCCAAATTGAATTATCATTTGTACATACTAGACAAGGTAGAAATGGCCCTTATCCTCTAAAACTGTCTGAAGGTAATATATAAAATCATCATAAATGTTCTCATTACATTTCATGCAAGTAAACAGTGACACAGTAGGAAAAACCAGAAGGTTAGACTGGTCAGGGTGACCCTTTGAGACTGGAAGGGTGAGGGTGTGCTAGTCATGTAAAGAGCTGGGGGGTGTGTGTGAGCAAATGAATTTCACAGGGCATTAAGAAGGGAAAAGAAAGGAAGGAATGAGGGAGGGAGGGAGAAAGGAGGGAGAGAAAGAAGAAAGGAAGGAGGGAGGAAAGGAAGGAGGGAAGGAAGGATGGAGGGAGGGAAGGACGAAAGGGAGGAAGGAAGGAAAGAAAGAAGGAGGAGCCTTCCTGTCATCGGCTCTCTTGGTTCTTATGGCTCTCTGGTTCTGTTCTTTAGCCCATGTGAAGGCTCTAAAAGGTCAGGTGGGGGCCAGCTTTCCTTTCTCACTCACTTTGCTGTTTATGAAAAGCAGTTACCATGTTCTGTTTTGCCGTTTTGAGATAGTATCTCATAGGCTAGCCTTGAACTTACTGAGTAGCCAAGGATGATCTTGGACCCCTAACCCTCCTGCCTTTACTTTCCAAGTGCACCATCATATTAGGTACTGTGTACTGCATTTTTCCTGTACTTTTTTCGGTCTTGCTTACCTCAATTCTTCATTACTTTTCCTTGGTTAAGGAGCTTTATTACCTGGCTGATTTTGTCATGAAGCGTGCAATTTTCTACTGCACGGTCTATGCATACAACCAGACATGGTAGTATAAGTTTGCAATCTCAGTCCTCAGGAGGTAGAGGCAGCAAGGTCCTGAGTTTGTGGCCAGTTTGGGCTAATCTCAAAATATTGAAACCTGCATCGAAAGACAAAAATGAAAAACTATATATGGATGCAAAATATAAAACAAATGCTAAGTTTTCGTAATTAGTAGGATACTTGGTTGTCCACAAACACTGAATAAAATGCCCTTCATTCAACTCTCTTCAAGAGGACGATGATTGCCTGCAGTAGGCTAAAAGTAAGATGCAGAGTCTCGATTTCAAAGAAAATATTGAAATCTCCTGTGGAATTTCTTTTCACAGAGATCACGTCAGCGGATGAAGAAGCCTAAGAAAGGGATGCGGAGGTTCACGGTGAACACTGAGTTGGAAGTCAGCTTCCATTGTGGCCTGTCTCACTAATGAAGGACCTCAGGCCTTTCTCCCAGCACTAAGAAGCTATTACCAAGGGAACGATTCGATTTGCACTCTTTTTAGGAAAAGGGTTGCCAAGGCAACAAGGAGGCTGGAAACAATGTAAAGCAAGGAGACAATGGCTTTGTAGCAATGCTGACAGAGTTACTGGAAACACAGGTGAAAACGTTCAGGTTGGGGAAACTATTTGGAAGGGATAAGGAGTGAAGAGAAAGAAGAAATTATTGCTCCAATTTCCAGCCTCAAAGAGCTGGTAGTCAATGTCGTGAAATCTGATTAAGGTTAGGGCAGAAGTGGAAACAAGTTTGGGGAAGAAATGCAAAATTTAATTTTGGATATATTATTTTTGGTGTGTTCTTTATATGGAGACATTTTTCAGGAGACTTTAGCTTCATTTTATCTATCATGGAGTTATTATTAAATTTGTAATCACAGACATTTTTCTCCCTTTTTACATCCCAAATTCCCAAATTAAGCAATTATAGAATTTTCTTACATTTGTAGTGAATTTACTCACTTTTAGGTTTTCATAACCACAATGTAACAAAGGATATTAATATATGATTCCGTGAAGTTTAAATACAAAGTGTGTGTGTGTGCACTTGCTAAATATTTCTTCCTTTCCTGTTTGTATTGTTCTAGTATCTTAGATGGGAATGTGGTATCACAAGGAAAAGGGAGCATAGAGACACTTAGAAGGCAAAGAAAAGAAAACTAAGCTGAGATTTACTTCTTCAGGTGCGCTGGTGTTCCCTCCAACACTCCAGGTGTTACTCCCTTAGGTATGAAAGTGTACTTCTCTTTCAGGGGGGTCTGCAATCTACAACTGTTTTTGCTTTGTTTTGGTTTTACAATAGTCTCACTTTGTGTCCTAGGCTGGCCTTCAACTCCCAACCATCTTCCTGTTTCTGCCTCCCAAGTGTCTACGGTTGCTTTTTGCTCAAGGTCTTCTTTCTGTTGGTAATGTGCTCCACTGCTTCCTGTTTTAAGGGAATCACGCCATCTTTAATGTATGCTTCAGCCTCAATACAGGACAAGAGATCATGTGATCACTTCACCTGTTTCTCCAGTTTAGCTTTGAATCACCTGGGAGCCTGGTCCACGTTTTCATCATTTTATCCCTCTCACAGTGTTTAGCACAATGCTACTTATACAGTTGGTGTTCAGACGCAGATTTGTAAAAGAGTTTTGTCAGTCTAGATTTTAGAGAATGTGGACCAGACATGCTCACTCTTCTGTGTTTCTAGTGGAGTAAAAGATGCAGCTAATTAGTTGAGGGATTGATGAGATAGTCGAGGTGGCAGAATGTAGTTGAATTCTTTTCAGACCATACAAATCAATAAGGCAGAGTTTGTAGTTTATTCTCAAGCATAGAGAACAAACTTCTCATGGTTGGATCCTACAAGCCTGAGTTTTTATTTTTTTAATTAAAAAACATTTTTTTTTTTTGGCTGAAACTCAGACACGAAAATATTAAAAAAAAAAAAAAAAAAAAACAGAGAGAGTTCCAGAACAGCCAGGACTGTTTCACAGAGAAACCCTATCTTGAAAAACCAAAAAAAAAAAAAAAAAAAAAACCCCAAAAAACAAACAAACTAAAAAACCCCCAAATCATGGTAAACTTAGTAGGACTTTTACTGTGAAAATGTCCCATTAGTTTCCCCAGCAGATGATCAGATAAGACTTGGGATGGTCACCATTTTCATGGATATAACATCCTGGCTAGCTGAGGCAGCAGATGAGCCGCTGCATGTATTAATGACATAGTAATCATTTTGGCCATGATGGTGGTACTCATTCTTGATTTACTAGACGTAACCCTCATATCTCAAAAAAGAGTCGTTTTTATTTGAGGAAATAATGTGTAATTCGCTTACTAAAGCGATCAACTCAGTTAGAAGAAACATTATCACCCAGAAGCCTAAAAGTCAAACCACACTGGCAATTACCAATAACCTCCAAATACCTCCACTGTAATCTCCTTTGGGGCCACCGGCCACTTGTGCTCAAACTTTTCTTTCACAGTTTGCTCCGTGTTAGCTGTTGGATTTGGGTTCTCAACTCGCACTCCGTGGCTTGGCTTACCCACCAGATTTTGAACAGATTTTACCATATTCTTTAAATCCTCTGGGTAAGGAGTTGGATAGCGTTTTAGGTTTATTTCAACCTAGAAGTTTATAAAAAGAAATCGAACATAAAAACGACTTCAGAAAGCATGTTCACCAAGCTACTCCATGGTACAAGCTTCATCAAAAACAAATGCAGTACAGTGAGTGTTGGGCTGCCCAGGGAACTGCCCTTGATGTGAGGAGTGGGGCTTGACTCCTGTTCCCGACTCCTTCACATCCTCAGACATCATCAATGATTTCTTTAGAATATACTGTATCTTTTGATGAGTGAAATAGCAGTAAATAAGACTCTTAAGTGACTGCTAATGTCATAAAAATGGAACAACGGATTACCAGTTACATTACATCTTAGAAGTTTACTATCTTTGGTATTTAATAATTTTGAAATTTAATAATTTCCATAATGAGAATGCCTTTGGAGTTCAGTGCAGGTATTGGGAGGGAGGAGACCTCACAAGATTTACAAGCAGAGTGAAGCAATAAAAAAGCCAAACAGGTGTTAGCCCAGGTTTATAGCTAGCACGCACTGTCAAAAGGGAGGGTAGCTTATACTTTTTAAGACTTCAGAAAAATTCTCTGTGGTGGCTTTCACACTTGTGTTTTACACTAATAGGTCATATGCTTCTTGAGTAACAGATTATATAAAGATAAAAAAAAATCACTTCTTAAAAATATGTTTAGGCAAATGTACATGTTTTGGATGCTGTTATCCAGATATTTTTTCATTCATTTGCAGGTGTTAATCTTAACTTTCAAGAACACACTGAAGGACTCTTCTTAATACTGATTTCTTATATGTAGAATATTCTACCATGAGAGTATTAATTATTACATATTTAAAAGAGATTCAATAGTCATTCATGTTGACTGAATGAACTCACCAAAAGAGATAGGTGTGCCCAGTTTGACTTGTGCCAATAACTGTGTCAGTTTGAATCTGAGTAGAATCAACTTTTTAACATGGAATGGCTTGAGTGGTTGTGGTATGTCTTGTGGACCGCAGGCGTGTGAGGGTGGAGGGTGGGAGCAGAGAAGGTGGAAGAGAATGAGGGAGGAAGGGGTGGGAACGGAGGAAGGCAGCCAGGCGGAGGCAGGGACTCCCCATCTGGTCCATGGCAGGTAGGAGAAGCTGGAGAGAATGAAGGACTCAAACACTTTTGCTAATCTGCTCATTTAGCAAATTCACCAATGTTGTTACTCTTAGGATTCACTGTGGCTTGTTACCCTAACAAGATAACAGAATTGGATGCTTCAATGTATTTAAAAAAATTTTTTGACATTAAAAGCATACAATTATTTTTCAGTACATATTTGGAATGCAGAGAAACATCATTTTTTGTTTAACTCGGGTAACTGTAATCTATTTTTTTTAATGTTCTCAAATAAATGAGAATAGACCAAATAAATAAAGGTCAACGCTGTAAGAACCCAAGGTAAAATTGGGTTTCATGAGAAAAAGTGAGATTTTATGGTTTAATACTAATATGTTCCAGGAAGTCGAATTATAGTGTATTCTTCAGTAAACACTGAACAACAACGTCTTCTAGCCAGGGTACACTGGGATGTACATACGCAGGGATTTGCACTTTAAGTCCACGTTAGAAACATTAGTTCCGAATTATATTTATTATATTTACTTTTAAGCTACAGTGTTGAACTTGTTTAAAGGTATTTAATATCAAGGGGCTAAAAGTAAAAAAAATACCCTATGAATCTACATTTATAAATTGTGAATTGTAGGGTGGACTGCCCATCTGGCCAATTAAAAGCATTGTTTTTCTTTTAATAGCTAGTGGTAGATTGTTTAAAAAGGAGTCTAAAGTAGGGCGCTAAATAGAAGTTCTTTGCAGCTCAAATGTCCTCAGCAGTGACATGCTCTCCTGATCTGAGGTAGGAGATATCTGCCCTGTTCTTCCCTAAGTTCTATGCTTCTTCACGCCACATGGTTTACGGCCACTACACAGACGTGGTGTGGATAAGCGTGCACAGTTGGTCACTAAAAGCAACTTGATGTGGTAGTTTCCTTAGTTTGGTTATTCTAATGTTGTGGAAGTATTTAAATGTGAAACACATGCGTCACAAAGCTTCAACTATCCATCTGACTGTTACATTCAAGGCGATGGATGGTTGCTGTTCAATTATTTATTTATATGGAACATTTTATATTTTTTCCCCCTTAGGATGGCTCTTTGCCAAATTTGGGAATCTTTAGGAATCACTAAACTTGAATTTGCTCCATCCAGAAAATAACCACTTTGCCCCCATTTACTACTCTTCTCACAGAACTCTGGGCTTGGGTTCATGAAGTATCAATTCAAGCTGTGGGTGTACCTCTGAGGAGACACTGGCCCCTAGTCTGTTGCTTCCGGTTATGAACAATGGAAATCCAGTGCCTCTCTCATGTACTTGCGTTTATTCAGAACTAAGGTGGCACAAATGTGAAGTACCTTAAAATGTATTGTTGATGCAGAGATCTCAGTTTGTAACTCAGGTTGGTCTCATGCTTTAAATCCTCCTGCATCAGCCTCTTTATTATTGGGATTAAGGTGAACGCCACAACACGCCGCTTGATCTTGTTTTTCATGTCAGAGTTGACTTGTTTATTTGAAAGCTCTGAGTCCCTTTGGTAATGTAGACTCTGCCCGACATGTCTAACTCAATGCTGAGTCTCTCTTTCAGGTTGTATAGAGCAGCCCTTACTCAGCGCTCTCCATGTTCCAGGCATGACACTGAATGCTTTATAGCATAATTAATTTATTATTGATTAAGCATATAATATGCGATAATATTTATAACTATTCCTATACATTTTAATACAAATAAACATGTATATAGAATGAGAAATACTACATACTGCAGAATGTTATAAATTTGGAATTGTATGTTTAACTTTTTTTAAAAAACATTTATTTATTTATTTATTATGTATACAGTATTCTGTGTATATGCCTGAAGGCCAGAAGAGGGCGCCAGACCTCTTTATAGATGGTTTTGAGCCACCATGTGGTTGCTGGGAATTGAACTCAGGACCTTTGGAAGAGCAGGCAATGCTCTTAACCACTGAGCCATCTCTCCAGCTCCCTGTATGTTTAACTTTTAGAAAGCAGTTGTGATTTTATGGAGGGTGTGTCAGTGTGGGACTGGTTAACTTTTCTCTGCAGTCATGTTAAAACTTAAGTCTTCTGGATTCTAAGGTTTACATCACACTGCTGTGGTTTACTTAAGAGGTATTCTCTGATGTACTATGACATGGACTTGTGTAACCTTGTGGAAAAGGTACTTTGCAAGTAAAATTTTAATTTTGTTGTTAAACAATAAGATAATTTCAATTTAAGAAATAAAGCTAAGTAATTCTAATTTGTAACCTCTTTCAAAGTAAAACTGTGTTTTATAGCCCAATTCTATTTTAAGCTCTTCATAGACATATTGATACCCTTCCTTCTTAGTTCCTGCCTTCAGTATTTCAGAAGTGGGCCAGCATGGCCACAAAGAGTTATTTTACTGGTTCAGGAGCATTCATACTTAAAAGCAGTTTCTTTATTTGTAAACACCTGGGATAGAAACATTCCCCATCCTATTATGATATAAAACGTAAGTGAATTTCTGACATACAGAGGTGGGAAAATCTACAGAATTCATTCTGATAATGGTGTTAAATTTGTCACTCACTATAAAGTATTTGCTCATGTCACACATTGTATTAGAATGCAAGATTTTTACTAATATATATATATTAATTCTGTGAGATAAAATGCTTCACAAGACTTTTAATATCTAAATGAAGTACAATAAATGCAAATAGCAGCTTCAACGCATTGGAGACCCCAAAAGTACAGTAAAGAAAGAATTACTTGTAATAGTGTTGGCATTCAGAAATGGTGTCTTGGATTCAGACAGAACTGTTTCTCATATATTATATTATAGACGCATAATATAATATACTTTACATAGCCATTAAATTTGAATTTGATTGTAAATTCCAGTAAGAGAAACAATAGAGTTTTGCAGTGATAATTAGATATCAAATTATTCTAGAAATTAGTGGGTACATTTTACATAAAAGGAAACAGGGCAGTTTTAGTCAGGAAGGTGCATTCTCAGCTTGTCTTATATTGTGGAAAGAATATAAGACATAGAATGAGAATCTAGTCCATTACATGTGGGTGGCAACGTTTATAAAAACACAGTGTTCCTATGTAGTTTTCCTTCTATCATTTCTCCTCTTAGACACCCAGCCCTGAGAAAAGGAATCCCTCTCTGCCGTGACTCCCGAACCCCACTTCTCTTACAGGAATTCATAAAATTTGAATCTTCAGATTAAGGGACATTGCTGCTTTTGAACAGAAGTCTCTGTTTGCTCAGAGTCCACTCCCAGCAAATCTCAATTTCAACGTCTGTGTTTTCAAGTCAGGTTTTATCCAGTTTCCCCCGAGCTGACCCTGAGAAGCGTGCTTGTTCACAGGGCAATTCCAATCACTTCCAAAGCCTGGTCAGCGTTCTGCACAACTGGCCGTATCCCCACACGTTAAATTAAAGAGCCAAAGAATAGTAAACAAAAGCAAAGCCCCAACTTCAAAGCCATGCCAGCTACCCCATGAAAAGGCACCTTAAATTGAAGTCCCCGCCCTCTGGCTCAGGCTCCCCACCCTTTGCCAGTGTCAATAGAGATAAATCGATTCAGACACCGGCAGTCCGAAGGCTGCTGTGCGAACAACAGTTCTCACCCCTAGTCATGCAGCACATACCCCATAAAGCACTGTTCCAAGGGAGCCTCTACTGGGCTTCTCCTACCCCAGACACCTAGGCCTACCTGTCTGCCACTTAGAGAGGGAAGAGTGGTGGACTGTGCAGCCACTGGCAAGGGAGCACACATGCTCCTCTCCTGCTGGAGGCCACTTATACAACCCCATGCCAGCTGGGGGTCACTCTGGGGGACGGGCATATCTTGGATCTGCTGATCACACCTGGCCCATGGTGTGCAGCAATCGCCAGACAGCCTGGCAGGTTGGAGAGTAATCCCACGCTGGCCCCTGTCCCAGGGGGCTTGGCAGGAGAGAGCCTGTGGGAGAAGGAATCTCCATTTTCTGAGAGAAACAGGAGCGCTGCAGCAACATGTTTGCTTGATCATTTTCTACCCTTGGATAGCTTTTTCTTTCATTCTGGACAATGCATTTAAAACAATGAAGTTTAACTCCATGTAATCAAACAGCATAACACGAAGCCACGGGTGGCAACGTCTTCACACAGCTCAGCATCCACACTCACTGTACACACTCCAGGCAGGACTTCGTATGCTTTTCCCATCCAAAGCTGATGGCATAGGCCTGTGGTTCCCTTTTAAATTTCAGGTCAATTAAAATTAAAATGGTGCTAACTTTAATGTACATGTAATGAACCAGAAGAGGGTGAACTAGTAAGACCCCAGGGTGTTCCATTCATCATCTCCCACGATGATGTACTTACGGGTGTTTCTCCTCTAATTTGTCTGATAGCCAATAGCATCGGAAACAGCCAAATTAGTCAAGTAGTTGGAGATTTTGGAAAAACATATTGTTTTACCAAAATGCAAATAAAGTGAATGTAAAAAATGCAGAGAAAAATCAAACCACGCTAAAGCATATGGAACCCATTATGAGCATACTAACCACAGAGCACACAAACAGGGTTATTAAATTTTTGTTTCCATTTCTATATTTCATGATTTTATAAACACGTCTAGGGAGCATATTAAATGTATTTTCTTTTGATCCTTGACTATATATTTTTAAGAGGAAACATGTAGTTATTTTGACAATTCAATGAAATATAAAAATGAATCAAGAGTCCAAGACAGAATGCATCACCCATTGGATCTTGATTTAACACAAAATCCCCGAAGAGGGGAACTGAATTGTTTTAAAGGTTTGTATCAAATTTAGCAAAATTATTTTCTGAAAATTCACAAGTTTTAAAACGTGTCTCTGTGGTCATAAGATTGCAATAGTCAATCATCCATAAATGTTTCTTCAACCAAAAGTTTTAAAAGAAAGTATGTCATTTTGGATTTATGACTCCATTTTGAGTTTTCAGTAATGACACAGTCATCACGAATAATGGTTTAAGAAGTAACATTTAGAAAACGGGGCAAGGTGGGGACAGGGAACACCACACAATCTTGATTTATTAATAAAGTGCATATATAGTTACTTAGGTCATTAGTCACTACAAGTGAAAGCTGTTAGTATTCATGATGTTTTTGAAAAATTACACAAATAATATAAAAATCGACGAGAGATTCAAGGTGCCATCATGATATAACGTTAAGTGTTAATGAAATCTCAGCTAATTCTAATATTTGAGAATTTAAATAATGGAAAATATATGTTTAAATGTGTAACCTTGTTTCTTCACTCAGATTAGTCACAACAAAAGATTTCTTAAAAATGCAGTTAAAATAAAGAAGTTGTTTTGCCTAAACATCTTCACCTGTGATTCACCTTTTTTTTTTAACACCCAAACTTAGAGAAACAGAAGTTCTTTTCAAATACCCCAACCATGTAGAAGACTTAAGGGATGCAGTGCCACTGTAACCCGCCAATCAGCGTTTCTTCCACAAATACGTATTTTGGCTGGTATTGTCTGCACGGGGCCTGGCCCGGTGACTAAAAGGATCATTGCAGCGTTACAGATGAAAGAAGATTTAGGCGAGGTTCATCACCTAGAGTTTCCCTCACTTTCAGCTTGAATCTCTCGCAAGTTGTTATATCGGGGAGTGTAAGTACAAATCAGACTTGCTCAGTCGGAACTGGGACATTCGTCTCAATCTGAATCACACCAATGCTGCCCAAACACTTGCCCTCTAGATAGGGGTATCTTCACGAGACTAGAAAATGACTGTGACCTTCCGGAGAGGTCACTTAGTGGATCCCTTCTCTGTCTGAATAGTAACAGCGGACAGACAGAACAACAAGAGAAACAAAGGCCAAAAGTTCACCTTAACTTTCCCAGCACTTCCGTCATCTTCTTTCTTATCCTCAAATTCAAAGGCAACAGTCATGCGCTGTTGTCTCTGCTCCTCCCACAGGGTGGGGTTGAAGCTGTCGCTGTCTGACTGGAAATCTACGGAGTCCAAAGTATTAATGCTTTTCTTTTCCTTTACATACACGATGCATTTAATAAAGTTTAATATAGTATGCAAAAAGAGAGAGCAAGCACCACCAATGAATACAATAAATACATTTAAAAGGGTCGGGAAGAGATACTGAGGAAGAGGAAGGAGAGAGCAGGAAGGACAGGAAAGCAGAACATTCTTCTCCGTGTGTCTTATGTCATCTGTATTTACTGTTAGTCATGAGGGTTGGGAAATTTCCTAGCATAGGAATGGGTTCCCTTGGGCCAACAGTAGCAGCCTGGAGACTGGATGAAGCATTTCAATCTCTCTAATCCTGAAGAAGCTGTCAGTCTTCAGGTTCTGCCCCAGGTCTCTCAGGTCCCAGGTCCTACTCCATGTGTGGGTGACTACGGAGCCCGTGTCACATTGAAACAAAGCAAGATACTACACAACAAGTACCCAATAATCTGACATTCTTGTTGGTTCTTTGTGTGCATGTGAATAGAGTAACCTCATTTTTAAGGTAGCGAATACATGGAGAATTCAGTTTTAATGCCGTGTTTTCAAGTCCCTTAAATGTGCCTCAAATAAGCAGGGAAGATGATTTATAAAATCTCTAATTTACATCAAAATGTTGTCTAATGGCACCTGCTTTGTAACACAATAGGGAAAATTGCGTGAAAGCCCAATAACAGGTGCTTAGCTGAGGCTAACTCCTTTCCCAAAGAATTTTGCTTTGTTGCATATTTCTCTGTCTTACAGGATTCTTAAAATTCATTTATTATTTTCTTTTTCCACAGACAAAAGTTGACTGGCTGGGTTGAAGCTTAAGAATTACTTTTCAGTAATTACACCAAATTTTATGTCCTCAATAGAAAAACAAACAGAAAACTCAAGACAGCAAAGGCAAACGCTTTTTCATCTTAGGTCACCTGACTGCTGACCTCATACCTGGGAACTGACCAGGGGTTTAGGTGACACACTAGATCCCAAGGATGCCTTGTGGATCTGGGTTATTCTTTATCTTTTCTTTACATTATTTTGAAACCCAGGGATGTCATGAAGAAGAGAAAATAAATTTAGGCTAATAGAACAGTCCTTATTTGGTTCTTTATGATACAAAACTCTGGTGGCATTTCTCTTATAAAATCAAAAGATCAATTTATTCAGATGTGAAAATTACTTTTCCAAACAACCTTCCCCTTTTCTATTTCTGCAAGTCAAAACTTTTAATAAAAGTATCTTTACATCTCCTACAGTGATTCATTTACATCTGGAAGTCAAAGACTAAAGCTGTTTATCATCATTACTCCTGAAAATGAGAACACACAAGCAAATAGTTCTCAGACAGGATGGGTTTATCTGTGGCTGCATTAAAGTGGGTTCATTGTCATAGAACCCCCATGATTCTGCATGGCTCCTGAGAACACAAGCCAGACAGCCCTGTTTCAAACAGGAAAAAGCAATGCTTTTTAAAGCTTTGTATAATAGTGATCCTAGGCCAGAAGGCTTATTGTAACAGGCTTAGGTTTTTACGAAGTGTTTTTTGATCATAACTGTTGACATTGCATAGGGAATCTCAACATAAAGACAAAAAAATGTAATGGAAAAAATGTCATTATTGTAAGTCAAGTCCTATGACTAATTCGCATGTAGGGGTCCAAGGTTGTTGTCCTGATCTTTAAAATATGCTCTGTAATATACGAGCACAAGAGAAGATCCTCTCCAGCCAGTCCTTCTTTAGCTCCGAACTCCTTCTTTGTGCTGCCAGTCGCTGGGTACCACATTTGGTGACCAGGTCCCATTCCCTGCAGTCTAACCCTTAAAGAAGAAGTTAACTCTAGAGTGTTTACATTATTCTCACATGAGCTATACTTTTCCTTGCGTGTGTATGTGTGTGTGCCTGTATGTTCATGTGTGTTTGGGTACATGTGTATACACATGCAAGTGGAGCCCAGTGATCAGCATTAGGTCTCCTCTTCATTTGAGCTCTGCCTTAATTTTTGGAAAAGGCTCTCTCATTTGGAACTAAGTCTCACCAATTAGGCTAGGCTGACTGAAGAGCAAGCACAAGACATCCTCCTCTCCTGTCTCTGCTCCCAGCATTGAGATTATGGGGACTAAACTCAGGTTCTCATGTTCGTAAGACAAGCGCTTTGCAAGCTGAGCTATCTCTGGAAAGAGCCTGGCCTTTGGAATCTTAAAATATTACAGCACCGAGACTCAAACTCCCAGATGGTGTGCTATGGAGTTTTCTTTTATTGCCTGTAAGCCAGTATTTCTGAACAGAAATTAGAATTAAAAACTCCTTTTCTCCCCTGCAACATCATTAAAAATTAAAGAGTGAATCTGAAGACAACCTACCTTCGTCACCACGGGGTTGTTGGGGAAACATGTAGTTGGTCAGTACCCTTTGCTTGGTTTCTGGGTGGGCTTCTGTTTGTAGAGGTATAAGGGCCTTGGACTGGAAGCAATGAGCACCAGTTAGATGAACAAATTAGTCAAGATTTTATATGAGGAAATAGCTAATAGTCTGACCTCTCAGAGATGACTGGATAAGATGACATACCATAGATATTGCTGAGGACTCTTTTCAGATTTTAAGATTTTTGCGATGTTTGGTCTTCTTTAGTGTACTCTTTAAAAGTTTATCAAAACATAGTCAACTGAGCACTTCAGTTCTAATCTTGAGGAGGCAAGAGAGTATTAAACTGTTCAACTGAATGAGGGTTTAGTGTTGTCTGGAGCATGCCTTCCTTCTCCCAGGGTGTGGTCCAGACTAATGCGTGGTACTTGCACTGCTCACATTGAGCAAGGCACACCCCACATATGAATAAAAGCTGCACACATATCTGATGTTTATGCTGTATTTTATTGTTCATCACAAATGTGATATCAGAAATACTATCTTTAAAGGCTTTTAGAATAGGTATTATTTTCATAAGAATAGGTAAATACCATTTACCAATAGGAAATAAACAAGGGTTTCATGAAGCTATCTAGACACATTGCAGCAATTCCCACAGTGTAAGGCTACCATCCCAACAGCAGAGTCCACAGACTCTGGAAACAACCATCGGTAAGCTTCAATGACAATCCAACTGTATACCAGCTGATGAAAGCAGGAGCTGTGATTAACTGAAGAAATACAACACTCTTATGCTAACACTCTAAATTTGTAGGAGTCATTTTTAGTTTGTAATAAAAGTCCCCAAATAACTAGAAATAGGAACTTGGTGCCCAGGGAATGTTGATATATTGAACTGAAGGTGCATTGTTTTTATTTGGCCATTTATATTTTGGGGTAAGGGTTTCAAATATTTAGAAATACTAGAAAAAATAATTAGTATTACATTCTACTGACATGACTCACAGACACCTCTCTGTTTCCTGTTATTTTCCAGTTAATAAAATTATTCATTAACATGCAACTTCTGATTCCACTATACTCTATTTTCATGAGTATATAAAAATATCAAGATAACCACAAAAATACTGAAGATAGCTATCAGTATATCAGCAAAGGTCCTGAATAAAGTTTTAGAATTAAGTTGATCATAATTAAAAACAGTGAGGGAAAAGGAAGATAGCGGCTGGTAATTCCCTCTTGTGGGAATTGTGGTAATGGGTTTTCTGTTTTTACTTTCAGAGCTATAATTAAGGTGTGCCCTCTAAGGATGTGTGCACCACCAGGAGCTGAAAAGCCAACAAACCATCATCTGTATGTTGGGTCTTTGACAGTGAATTAGGTATGGAACAGAGGTGTTTGAGGAGCATGAAGACCATGGCACTGTTTCACCAACGCAGTATGTGATGGACTTTTGTGCAAAACTCTCCTCCAGGCATAAGGAATCTATATTTTAGAATAGTTGTCAAGTGTATCTACGGGGACTCAGTAATCCAAAGTTTCAATTACACTTCATCTAAGGAACATGATAACTCAGGGCACAAAAGTTTTTTTTTTTTTACCTGATTGTCAGAAAGCCACAATGCTGCAAGTTCTTTGAGTTTGGTGAACGAGAATGGTAAATTCTTCAACCTGCAGAGACAAGAGATGTCTCATAGCATAGACACAGACAGCTAAACTCATTTCTAAGAATATTTAGACACGCTACTATGTTGATTCATTGCTCTCTTCAATTCTTTCTCTGGAGTGCCTAAACAATCTTAAAAGAATGAAAATCTTCTTTGTTATTCATTAGTGTGTGTGCTTGTGTGTGCGTGCGTGTTGCGTGTGTGTGTCTGTATGTGCATATGTGCATGTATTTCTGTGCATGTGAGCATGTGGAAGCCAGAGGACAACTTCCGGGTTTTTCTCTCTCCTTCCACCATGTAGGTCCTGGGTTCAAACACAGATCAACAGGATTGAAGGCAAGTGCCTTTATCTGTTGAGCCATCTCCCAGGCCCAAAACAACAAAAATCTTTCTAATCTTTCAAATACTTTCCACAGTATTTAAATAAAACAAAAATCCTGTTAGTACCCATGGTCAGGCTCAGCAGTGTGCACCCCAATACTAGAGAAATGACTCCTTAGTTAAGAGAACTTATTGCTCCCCCTAGAACATGAGTTCAGTTCACAGTCCTCATCCCAGGCAGCCCACAACTGTTTTTAACTCCAACTTCAGTAAATCTTCACAAATTTGCACGCACACACACACACACACACACACACACACACACACACACAAATGGAAAAAATAAGCCGGGCAGTGGTGGCGCAAGGCCATGTAGAGTTCAAGGCCAGCCTGGTCTACAGGAGCTAGTTCCAGGACAGGCTCCAAAGCTACAGAGAAACCCTGTCTCGAAAAACCAAATAAATAAAATAAAAATAAAATCTTAATACCCCTAAAGCTGTTCTCATATCCCAGCATTGATTCTCCTTTTCTCATAGCTGGAGTGCACAATGATGTTCTACCAACTCAGGTGAAATTTCAGCTTGGTCCTCTCTGGAATATTCTTCCTACTCTGCTTCACTTGATTAAATCCCACAGTTCTTCAGTGCTTAAATTTCTCATAGGAAAGGTTTCTCTGGGTCCCAATTGCTTCCTTCCTTCAGTCTAGTCTCAGACTGGCTTGCACTTGCCTACGCAGACTATTTCACAGCTTTTATATGGGACTATTTTTTTTTACAGTCATTTGTTTATTATCTGATATCCTCACAAAACTATAGTTCCCAAAAGGGCAAGGGCCACGATATCTTACATCTAAATCACTTCGTAGTTTCCACAGTGATGCTGATCTACAGAAATTTCATCTCTTGTACATTGCACAGTAGGCATTACAAGAAGGAATCTTTAAAAATAGTATTTTGGAGTTTTGTGAAGTTTGGCCTTGGCTGTAGCATTCAATAAAAGTGTGGCTTCCCGCCTTTGGAAAGCCAGACTGACAAATGTACCAGTCAGTGTTTCTTGGTGTCACAGAGCCAGTGGGTGATCGGCACATTCTGATTACCTCAGCCACCATCATCCTCTCAGCTTCAGAGACAGCAGCAAAACCACAGTGGCATCCTCAGCAGCTTATCCCCGAGTATACATTCTGACTGGTAATGGGAATTTCTGTAAGTCTTTTGTATATTGGAATGCTATGAGTCAATTGACAAATGCACTTTTAGAAAGGAAGTAAAAATGTTACGATAATTAATAAGGACTTAATTTATGTCCAAAAATGATCAGGCATTTTCAAATAATTTAGTAAATGTGAAAAGAGGTTGGCCACCACTGTAAATGTTAAGGGTGTGTGGTAGAATTCTTAGGGAGACTACCTAATCTTATAAAAGAATGAATATTTGTGGACATAAGGTATTGACTTATGATTCTTTCTTGGCAGAAACGGAATTACCCACACAAGTTGTTTAAATTCATGGGGACTAGAAATTGTGAAGTAAGTTTTATAGGGTGGGATAGCATGTTTGATATTATACACGGTTAAATACAAAGCTGCCATTGAGTTTCACATCAGTGAAGCATGTGTAATATTCATGCCATGTTCATGCATGTCCTTGAGGAGTCATTGTGATGCAGTCCTAATGTGCTGTACGGAAGGAAGAACGAGATGGAGAGCAGGGACCGTGTTGCCTTGTATTTCCCCGGTGATTCAGATGGATGAGCAGGGCATTGGTGGAGGCACAACCTTGTAGCTGACAGAGCAAAGTGTCCCTGTTCCCAGCTACAATGCCACACTCTGTCAAATGATTTTATCTCAAACACAGAATTGCAACGGTTCACTACTTACGATAGCGCTTCTTGCTTTAAGTCCTGTAAGCAATTTGTTCTCTGTGGCAGTGTTAACGTTGGCCTCAGAGTTCACTATGCATTGTCTACCTCCGCCAGCTTGATTCACTGATGGGCTAATTAGATGGAAATATTATGGCTATGTTGTTGTTGCTGTACTACAGGATGTGTATGATTTTTTCTCTTTTGACCTTGTGAGTCGCTGATGTCTTATTCATATACTTCCTCAGCATCCACAAATGTGTCTGACCCCTGGTGAGTGTTGAAGTTTGCTTGATTTGCTAGGTAAAGGCCACCAACATATCAATACTTCTATTATAGGTCATTCGTGATGTTTGGTAAGCTTGTTTGCCATATAATCACTCAGAATGTTTAGGGAAATAAGTATTTGGGAGAGACTTCTATAGCTTGTCATGAAGATTCTCTTTCTAGGTTGACAAGGACTCAGCCTCACTTAATGAATTTTGTGATGCTTCCCTTGTGGTGTTAGTGAAGCCGTAGGAATTCATCTTTCTATGGTGATTCCATTGAAGTCAGTATAAGCCCATTTCTCTATGGAGTTTCCATGATCACACTTCCTAATCTAGCTCACAGGAACTTCTTTAAAGATCTCAACAAAGACCTTCTCAGATGTGGCATTCAGGGCATTTCCTCTTCTGCCAATCTGGTCACCAAGCCAGAGGAGGACATGACTGGGTCTCAATACCCAAAGCAGTGTTGTCACGTTGCCCTTTGGTTTATAATTAAAATAATCTCAGACCTTATAATAAAACACTGTATTTCCTTACTTGGGAGCATGGCTTAACTACAAAGACAGTAGTTTCTTTTTAAATTGATATTATTTTCCTAAAGGAAACTGAAAAACAAATGAAAACTTTTGTGTTCATTATGAAACTTTGGTGAGTATTCTTCATGACTTCCTAAACTCTGGTCTCTGACCACCCCAGTGCAAGTCTGAGCTATTCACACTGTCATTCATCTGACAGACGTTACAGGGACGGGGCTTAGGCGCTCTGCTCTGAAGACACTGCGTCAAGACAGAAGCCCTCGAGTATCTACTCTTCCCATTCCTATGAAGACAGTTGTTTTAATAGACAAGATGAGAAAAAAGACAAATTGTAGTTTCATGTTTGTTTCCAGCCCTTACCAATATAACACACCATAAGAAGAGGGTTCATCCTTCTTTTCCCTCTTTTTTTGTCTGTCTTACTCTAAATATGACTAAATATCCATCCTTGCTGCAATGAATTAACCTGTGGCGTTGTATCAGAGCTGACTAGTGATAATCTTACCTGTCACTATATAGACCAGGCTGACCTCTGGGATGAAAGGTGTGTACCACCACGTCTGGCTCCATAATTTACTTTTATTAAACAATTTACATACCTGTTATCACTTAGATTTAAGACTCGCAGCCTCTGCATCTGCCCAATTTCTTCAGGAAGAAATTCTAGCTTATTGGAGCGTAGAGACATAACGGTGACATTCTTACAGCTGCCAATCTGTAGGTGGCAAAAGAAAGCGGGGTTTACAATGTTGGGCTGTCTACCATGTGAAATTCTTGAAGAATAAACAAAAGTGTGTTTTAGAAAGGAACCACAAAATGCTGTTACTATATATTAGTTTCTCTAGTGTACAAAACAATTTAGGCCACAGATAAGTTCTTCTTCTTCTCTCTCTCTCTCTCTCTCTCTCTCTCTTTCTCTCTCTCCTGAGATGGTGTCTCACATTGTAGTGCAGGCTAACCTAAGGCTCCCAATGTTAGTCAGGCTGGTCTTGAACTCGTGGTGATCCTTCTGAGCACCGAGACAGTAGGAATGTGCCACCACACCTAGCCTAGAGATTCCCTTACCATCTTAATGTCTCTTAACACATGTAATGTAGTGTGTTTACTGACATCTGCATTTATAACCTTGCTCTTTACAGTGATTTATGATTTTAGATGTGATGATAATGCACATTTCATATTCTTTCACATATTAAGAATAATTATTTAAATAGTGTAAATCTTTAAACACTTGGTAGCCCTGCTGTTTTCACAAATCATTTATTTTTCTACATGATTACCAATATACTTGTGCTTAAGACAGGACAGCACACATATTTAACTCTTCACAGTTCCTTAGCAAGCCTGATTTTATGTCACATTACATGGCATTTGCTATTTTTACTAATAATTTTTGACTCTAAAATACTGATATATTTCTTATTATTCTATTGTTGTGGAAATTTTTAGTAGAAATCTTTGGACTAGAAATACACTTTACATTTTTTTCTGAACATTAAAAAATAAAATCCAGTTTAGAAATAAAATTAAAAGAATTTCTTCATGTATCCAGAAACTAAAATAATGTTATAAAAAACATCAAGCCTCAGAGACATATTTATAGTAAAATCCATGCTTTTACTTCAGAAGTAGAAATACAATTATCCTTAGTGCTGTGTATAGCAATTCTTAAAAGCAAAATAAATAAATGATTCAAGATTTCATCCCTTAGCATTGATTAACATATTTTTACTAATCTTTAGTAAAATTTAGTCGAGCGTACCACTCAAAAAAACAATTAGCATATATTTATCTAAACAGTAATGCCTACATATTTTCAAAGCTCAACTCATACATCCACTCTGCGATTGCACCTGTTATGATTTTAATTCGAAACAGAGTCATTGAAAGTTAACTGATAGAAAACAGCTTGTTTCTCACTTCTCTGGGCAACTCTGGGAGGAAATTCTCATCGACTGCTAAGGTTCGCAGGCTGTGCAGGTAGCCAATGGTGGAAGGAAGAGATTCCAGCTCATTGCAGCTGCAGTCAAATTCTTCTAACAAAGACAAGCTGAGAAGTTAAAACACAGTAGTCTTAGACATTCTGAAAGGTCACATGGTAAAGGAAAAGTTTTGAGAACGTGATGTCTCCAAATTCACCAAATATTCTTAACCTAGGATGGTACAATACCATGAGTCAACCCAGTCAGCAAGCACAGTGAAATGGATCAAACACCATCACAAGCAAGGCTGCATTGGTCATTCATCTGAACCACTTGGGATGACACCAAAGACTGTTCGTTTACAACTTAGATGTTATTGACAGCAGGAGGCTTGGAGTGAGCACCTGTAATTGGAGGGGCAGAAGGTGAGGGGGTCAGAGGGCAAGATAGAAAGAGGGGTGAACTGCTCCAGACTTTACTAAGCCCCTTGAGATCAGCTCCTCAATAATAGCCCCCCCTTTAACACCTGTATACAGTATCTACCTTTACAACCCATCTTGTAGGTGAGGCCTACAGAGAGAGACTAAGGAATGTTCCCTTAGCCACGCAGAGCAGGAACTCTGGGTTGAAGCAATGACAATACAGCTTGTCTGACTCTGTCATCTCTCCTGTCAGGCAGGACACACCCAGCGTGGAAGTATTTGCCATTCGAATTACACAGTATCATAAAATCTACCAAGTTTTACACAATGGCATAGATTTCAGTGCCTCTTGATATTATGGGCCTTTTCCTGCCCATGATCAGCATTTGAAGTGGAATAAGAGGCATTGTTTTCAAATGGGCACAGCTTTTCTGTTTGTTCCAGTCTGTAGCTCTGCAAACTTAGTCATATTAGCTTGTCCTCAGAAAGGCATTATGGGAATGCACTCTGAAATTATCATGAAACAAGATGATCCCATCACTTTTTGGCATAGGTTGGCGACAAAGAGGGCCTAGTCCAGCGTAAATGAGAGCAATACTGAAGTTGCTGCTAGCACTTAGGGCACTGTTATCAGGAAGGAACTCCCAAGGGTGAGGAGGTCATCATTGCAGAGGGAAGATGAACTAGTTGGAGCAAGGCCAAGGAATGGCTTCCCCTTTTACACACTAACACTCACTAGCGTCACTGACTCTCACTTCAATCACTTAGCCAGCAAGAACATGGAGCACAGAGCTGAAACTCATCAGATTTTTGCCCCAGCTCGGTCATTTACCAGATGCACGACTGTGATTCCAAAGACCACCACAGCCCCAAAGGCAACGCTGTTTCATTTACCTCCCTAGGCAAAGGGACACACTAAGGAAGACATGAATAACTTGTGCTCTGTGGATGAAACGTTGCAGAAAAGGTAAGCAGTGAGAATGGGTGAGCAAGATTTACACGGCAGGAAATGGCAGTTGTAGTATAGTACAGTTAGGAGCCAAGTCCAGTCCAGAGCTCAGAAGATAGCTGGTGTCTTGCTGTCAGTGTCGTCATGGGCCACGACCCTAGGAACACAAACCTCACAAGAACCAAAGATTTCTGTCAAGAGCCTGGGATCATATTCTCAGAAAATAGTCATGAAATTATAGTGCCTTTTTTTGATATTTCAGAAAAAAATCAACTGTATATTTAGCTGAGCTAAAAACAGTGTTAAGCATTTTAAAAAGTAAACTGACATTTTCCTTTTTTTTTCTTATACATGTTCAGAGGTCAGTTTTGAGTGGCAGTAAGGCTCCCGTTGATTTGAGGTTTCTATTATAAAGCTATTATGCTTCAGTAGACATTGCTAGTCCCTCAACAACACCATTCAAATCTCAGCTACTCGTTTTTTTAACTGCACAGGGCATCACAGTTTCCTCCACCTAAAAATCACAATGTGAATAAGGGGTGAGTGTCAGGATCACTCTTGAAGTCCTCCTGTGACTAGCCTTTGCTCTAAGTTCACACACAGACAGCAAAACAAATAGTTCTGTTTGTTTCTTGTCTGCCAGCAGTAGGCAGACACTTGGGAAAAACAATTTGATTATTAAAACACTACTACTAGGGCTGTGAAGATGGCTCAGTTTGAAAAGTCCTTCTCATTTAAGCATGAGGGTTTGAGTTAAATTCCTGGCAACCTCATGAAAAGGTGCATTGTGGGGCACACGGGCAATCCTGGAACTGGGGATGCAGGGACAGGAGAATCCCTCAAGTTTGATACCAACCAGTTTAGCCTAGTTGATGAGCTATAGACAAGTAAGGGGTCTTGTTTCCAAAAACATGGTGCACAGCTTCTGAGGAAAAGACACTCAGAGCTGACCTGGTCTTCGTATGTACATATGTGCTTGCACTACCCCACGACTGTAGTGACACATGCATTACATACATCATCTCCCAAATATGAGTGCAGTATAATAAAAACTATTATTGTGTATTGTGGGAATAATGCCGAAACATTTGAACAGAACACAAGTAGAACTATAGGAGAAATAATTAACCACAGGATTGTTTATACCAATAGTTGAACCTTAGATGGGCTGTCAGAGGCTCTTCATGAGGACAAAGTAACCCACATCAAAGAGGAAGTGACCCAGGAGAAGTGATACTGGTGAAGGATTTTGTCTGAGAGATGCTCTCAGAGATATGTTGTGACAATGAGACCACAAAGAATTAACTTTTAAAAATGAACCCAGACTTCTTAAGAAAGATGGCAATCCACTAAGGCAAAGAAAAGATGTTAGCTCATGTGTAATAAAGTCATTGATCAAATTCTTCCTGGTAAATTTTTATAAAACAAAATGAAACTTTAATTCTCAGTGCTCTTAATGAACAATGTGCTAAGTAAATATTAGTCTCATTGTTTTCCACTTTCTTTCTATTTAATGTCTCAATAGACAGATCTGAAAAATGAGTTTTTATTGAAAAGTCATGCACAGTGTCAAAATGCATCATCACTTTTATGGCCCCAGTTACAATGTGATTTATGGTGAGAAATATGTATTTGATATTCTGATAGTCAGTCAACTCCTGGCCCAGAGCTCCTAAAACTCTTGGCATGGCCAAAGTCAAGTGTCTTTTTGAATACTAATATGAAAACTTATGACCGAGGATTCTTGCTTAGCTTCAGAAGAGGTGTGTTCCAGTAAGGTAACGATGTGATTTTAGGGTTAGAATGTCCAGTCACTCCTCACCTCTGGGAAGGGGAAAAAGACTGAAGCTGAGCTGTTCACCAAAGGACAATGACATAATCAATTATGGTTACAAAATAAAGTCTTAATAAAACCCCCAAAGGACAGGTTCATTGAGCTTCCAACTGCGGGCTGTATGAAGTTTTTGGAATGAGGTGTGGCAAAGGCACTGGGGTTCTGTGTTCCTTCGAGAACACCTTTCCCTGCAAGCCTTCTCATGTGGCTGGCTGTTCATCTGTGCCCTTTCAATATAACTTACAACCCTTTCCCATATTTCTCTGAGCCATTCTAAGAAAGCTAAAAAAAAAGCAAAAACAAAATAAATAAAAAACTTTAAAACCAAACCAAACCAAACCAAAATCAAAAATCAATTGAACATAACAACAACAACAATAACAAAAAACACTGGACCTGAGGAGTGAATTCTAAGAACTCCTTGTTTACAAATTGTTAGTCAGGGTTTGTGATTAACCCTAATTAGAGGGCAGTCTTGTGGGGCTGAGCCCTTATCTGTGTTTTCTGATTCTAGCTGAGGATATATGGGTCTGAACTGAATTAAGCTGTAGCACCCCAGTTTGGCTCTACTGACAACTGAAGAACTGTGCAGAGTGGGAAAATACTGCTCTGTGTTGCATGTCCAGAATTCAGTGCAGAAGCACTTTTTTTCCCTATACAGGGCCATTTTATCATGCAATTGAGGTCTTTCTTTATTAAAAAGATAGCATTCTTTACCCTATGCAATACACAGAATGAATTAAGAGCCTAACAGTTATTTGGGATCTTTGAGTTATGAAGTGAAGCTAGTGAGGACAAATACTTATTTTTTCAATTGTCTCTAAAATTTCCAAGATTTAAAGTCAGAACATACAATGCCATCTTATTTTATTAATGATTATTTATCTGGTTAAAATCACTAAAGTTGTTTTCATACAGGTTCCTGTAAAACATAAGCTACCACATTTTATCAGGCTACCCCTGGTATTAATAAAATGAAGTATAAAGATCAGACAAATAGAGAACAAGAGGCCCACCTGCCCTCAGAACCCTCCCACACACTCAGTTCAAAGCAGAAAAACCAAGCCGCTGACTCCCTTTTCCTCCTGCCCCACTGTCAAGCTCCAGCCCCTACAGGGGCAGATATCTGCTGACCAGGTACATCACACTGGCTGCCAGAAATACAGACCACAAAAACTAGAAGACCAAAGAGGAAACAGAAACCAAAGAATAAAATAGCTACTCAACAAAGACAAACTAAAAAAAATTAACACCTAGACCTATATTCATCCCAAACCCAGATGCCTAGATACCAGTGTAAGAACACAACCAACAACATAAGAGGTAATATGGAACCACCAGAGCCTAGCTGTCCTACAACAGCAAGAACTGAACATTCTAGCACAGCTGAAGCACAAGAAAATGACCTTAAAACCAACTTATATGAAGAAGGAAGAGGTCCTTAGAGAGAAAAATGAATAAATACCTTAAAAAATTCCAGGAAAGCATAAACATTGGAAATGAATAAATCCCTTAAAGAAAACTAAGAAATCCAAGAAAAAAAAACAAACAGAAAAAGAAATGAATAAAAATGTTCAAGACCTGAAAATGGGAATAGAAGCAATAAAGTAGACACAAGCTGAAGGAATCCTGGAGATGAACAATCTAGGGAAGCAAACAGGAACTATAGATACAAGCATCACCAAAGAATATAAGAGATGGAAGAGAGTCTCAGGCACAGAAGATATGATAGAAGATTGATAATCCGTAAGAGAAAATGTTAAATCTAAAAAATTCCTGACACAAAACATCCAGGAAATCTGGGACACTTTGAGAAGATCAAACCTAAGCAGAATAGGAATAGAAGGAGAAGAATCCTGTCCAAAAGCCCAGAAAACTTTTTAAACAAAATCTTTGAAGAACGTTTTCATGACTTTAAGAAGC